GAAAGATTCCTGTCCACAAACTCAAACAGACACACTCCAAACTCCACTATGGCCAAGACCAAAGAGCTGTCAAAGGACATCAGAAACAAAATTGTCGACCTGCACCAGGCTGGGAAGACTGAATCTGCAATAGGTAAGTAGCTTGGTGTGAAGAAATCAACTTGGAAAATGGAAGACATACAAGACAGTCAAGACCATTGATAATCTCCCTCAATCTGGGGCCTCCACGCAAGAGCTCACCCCTTGGGGTCAAAAAGGTCAAGAATGGTGAGCAAAAATCCCAGAACCACACGGGGGGACCTAGAGATGACCTGCAGAGAGCTGGGACCAAAGGCTACCATCAGTAACACACTACGACGACAGGGAATCAAATCCTGCAGTGCCAGACGTGTCACCTACAATTGGTGGCTGACTAAATACTTTTTTGCCCCACTGTATAAGATTACTGGAGGGAGTCCATATTTTCCTTTTAGGGATGGATTCCCTTTTTTCATTTTTCACCAAAAACAATTTGGTGGACTCGGAAACTATAATGTCCAATAAAAAAATCTCTTTGTTACAAGTTGCTCCCTCATCAAAAAAGACCTGTATAGTGTATACTGCATTGCTCAAAGAGACACCATCATGTATGTTTGAATGTTACCAAGAAAATCATAGACACATTCATACTTATGTAATAATGAAGCACTTCCGCACCCCTTACAAATACCTGAACCTTGAATGTTTTTTTGCTTTGCTGTGAGAAAGTGTGAGATGGCCAACAACAACAAGAGTTCCCTTTGGATAGAGAGTGCACTGTGGGCATGAATCAGGTGTGATACCAGCCCCAGCATCAGCAGGGCCAACGCAAACACATACAGGAGTGGCTCCGCTAAAGCCCCGGACTTGTTAAAACGCCATTAGTGAAGTGTTGAAATAGTCACTTTCAATGGGTTTTGTTTAAAGTCTCACACTTATATTTACTATAATCTGTTGGAATACAAGCCTAATGCAATGACATTTTTACGCACAGTAACTGCTTCTCTGAGTTATGCAGTCGGTAAATAGTCTTAAAGTTGTGAAAAGAATCTAAAGCACATCCAAATCCAGGCTGAAGACCAGGTCCCAGACATTTCACCCAACATTAAATTTTACAACAATTTGATCCAACTTAAGTCATTATCTACTACTACAGCTTTCATTTGAAACTATTAATCCAGCCAGAGTGGGAAAACTAGCACATACAGCGCCTAAAAGCCTTACAAGCTGCAGCGGTGTGCTCACTCATTCAAAACTATAATGATGTTACAGTAACAAGCTCCAGTCAAGTTTTATTGCACCGACTGGGGCTGTGATTTAACACAGTCTGCGTTCTCTACTGTTTTCACTTCTCTCTCAGATTTCCATGTGTCCCTAAAGTAAATATCCATTGATTAACACGTAAATCCATACCCAGGCCTGTTTGACAGTTATAGGCCTTACACTGACCCATGTTAAGTTGATTTACAGAGTTGACCTGAGTGAAAGCGTCGTGACCTTCTCTGGGGTGTGGGTCAGCACAGCCACCCCACTGTCCCATCAGGGTGGCCTATTGCTCACTGCCTTTTTTTACAGGACATGAGGCGAGTGTAAGGTTTCAGAGTCATGCAAAGGTGATGCAGTGTCTTCAGCTCCACTGTGGGTGCTTGGTCTACACCCCTTTCATTGTATGTCGCCCCCCCACCCCCCCACACACTACCAGACTAGTTTTAAGGGACACGTATTTCTAAGTGCTCTATATACAATATGAGACATTACATCAGGCGTACCCAATACATTTATTGTGATCAAGCTAATAATTTGAGACCAGTCAACAAAATTACAAATTATGACATAATTTTGGTATGGGAATAGATGAATCACAATGCAATCCCCCCTTCTCCCCTTCTTACACAAGGCTCCTCCCAGTCCCTCCCCTCAGGTAGTGCCATAAAGGAAATTGCAACAGATTAAAGGAGCAGTATGTCCAGGCCAAAAGTGGTACTGCAGCCGCTCCCACTCTCCCTGACTCAGGTTGCCAGATATGCAGAAGAATCCAGCTGGGACCATAACAGCTGAATAGACAAGAGTTTTGTCAACACCAATTCTATAACCAACACCTTTCTCACAAAGGTCCTGATAGAAATCCTGGTTTTGTCATTAATGATTTGAGAATCATAACAAGACCTTTTTTAGTTCTAAAAATTTTAGTTCTAGTTACTTTAGCAGTGAGATTAGCTCGTCGCGGTGAGTTCTGGCAACCTGGATCACAGACTTTCCTATTGGTAAAACGGTGGGGGGCGGGACATCGAAATGAAAACAAAAGCAAAATTTAGGGGCTGTAAAACTATTTTTGAAAGTCAAATATCTTGGCTGAACTAATGTTATCAGTAGAAGAAGAAGAAGTTTTATAAATGCATTATTTATTATTAAATAGGGTCGTGGGGTCACCATCAACTCCCACTGTCTGCTGTCGTTGTGTCCTTGGCAAGACACTTAACCTCTGGGAACACCAGCCACAGTGGAGCGGCTGCGGCTGTAAAGTGCCAAACTGCAGTTGTGTCCTTAGGCAAGACACTTCACCCCCATTGCCTAGAATGAGTCTAGTGTGTGTGTGAATTGTTGGTGGTGGTCGGAGGGGCCAATGGCACAGACTGGTTGCCTCGCTTCTGTCAGTGTGCCCCAGGGCAGCTGTGGCTACTGTTGTAGTTTATCACCACCGTGTATGGAGTGAAAGAATAATGACATGTAAAGCGTCTTTGAGTGTCCAGAAAAGCGCTATATAAAACCGATGCATTATTATTATTATTATTATTATTTATGTCATTTAATAAATGACATATTTGATGTCATTTAATGATGACTTGACATGAAAATCTTATATACTGTATTGCCACTTTAAGCATTTATCTTGTTCGGACCAAATACATAGCATTTTAAAACAAAAAGGATGATATACTTGAGTGTATCAAAAACTCTTCTTACAATATCCATGTTTAGTTCTATGATAATAATCACACCTGGATTATAGATCTTTGACTGGACGCCCCATGTTGTACAGAGGTTAGGAAGTCCTGGTCTGATGGTGATGACAACATGATTAATGGTCCCACTCACTCTCATATACACACTGCGGCTCTAAGTGGCCTCAGAGAGGCTGAGGAAAGCTGCCTGCGGGGAAGAAGGGCCCCTGTGTGCCCGCGGAGATAAGAGGCTGTTTACTGTGCAACATGGACACTTTGTTTACACTGGGAAATATTAAGAAAACAAAAACAAGCTAGCTTAGATTGGAGATTAATGACGAAGGATTGGGTTATATTGATGCATGCTCTCTTTGAGACTTTAAAATAACAACATTAATAGAAATTATTATTTTAATTGTTCTTATTATTATTGCAATATTAACCCAATGCATGGGTTCTATATAGCTCTTTTAGACACTTCAGTTGACATATCATTATTATTAGTATTACCACTCTGTTCACTGTAGTTGTAAGTTACTTCTGTAGCCACAGCTGTATGGGTTAGACTGACTGACAGAAGCGATGCAACTAATCTTGGCATCAGCCCCGACCACCATCAACCATACTCTCACAGGCAATGTGGGTGAAGTGTACTGCCTAAGGACACAACAACATTTTGGTTGTGTTTAATTGGTTTGTTATTCAGGTCCAATTGCCCCAGGAAGCAACAACTTTCCTCCAAGCTCCTCGTGTGTGACTGAGGTCCTCACTCTATCTATACAGGCCACTCTACAGAAGAAACTCAAAATCAAAATATTTTATAATTATATCTTCATATCCTCTGCTTGGTGAGCCCCTAAAGTAGCAGATACTTAAACAATCTATGCACCCCCACAATTTAATTTGCTTTGTTGAGTATCTGAACTTCGAACATTGCAAAGCACTTTGGGTGACCATGGTCTGTAACACTGCACTAAATAAATAAAGATTACTTACTTGGTTACTTACTTATATCTGCAATCCTCTTGTATAAGTTGCTATAAAGGCCGAGTCTGGAGAATGGAGGAGCTGTCTAAAAAGAGCAGTTTGCCATGGGTCAGTGGGAGTAAAAGGAAACTGGACCTGGCACCCCAGCCTATAACAGGCCTCTGCCAACACAAGCTGTCCATACAGAGCTCCATCCTGAAGCAGAGGACCACAGCTCTGCCAAGTCCCAAAACGACCAGAGGATCATGAAAAGAGTAGATTTACACAAGCCACACAACAATATTTGTCTTTTTAAAATTACAAGTATGGAGGAAATTCTGCACCATAACTGACCCTATAAAATGATACTCATAAAATCCCAAAAAGTGTTGGGTTACTGTCATTTCACACACATGAACGCCATACACTGTAAGTATTTTGTAAATTATGTTATGGTGTAAAATTAAATGAGAATGTTGTATAAAACCATGGAATATGCAGAAAAGAAAAGAAAGAAAACAAATATTTATGATTCTAAGAGCATATAAAAACTACTTGTTGGTTTTTGTCATGGGAACAACATTGTTATTTTTTGTTCCAACAGAATGAGTCTTGTAAAAGTAAAATGTTATGAACAAATTAGGCCACAACAAGCTGTCTTCATCATGTTATATTTGCATATTTATGAGGGTTCCTGTGACTCACTATATACAGCATTGAAGCTTTGGACCGAGAGCTGATTATCTGAATGAGGGTTGTCCTCCCCTCCTCACTTATCTGAAAAAGCTGACGTGAAGATGTGACGGAGGCTAAAAATACAGGAATGTGAAAACATGTGAAAATCGAACGAAACTAATTAGAGCCAGGAACTAAATCAAATTTTATTTATGAAGCGCTTTTCATACAAAAGATGCAACACAAAGTGCTTTACATGGATTTAATTCCAGTTTTGATTTTCGAACCAATTCCAGTCTTAGTTCGGTACCCTCGCTTTAAACCAAAAGGAGAGCCTCTAAACGTGTTTCTGGAAGTTATACCGTCTTTATAACAATATTATGTGATACTGTAAATTTGTCACACAAAGAGCTTATCAAAGCAACTGTTGCAGTAAGGTTTGCCCTTCTGGTCTTTAAAGACTCCCTGGCTGAGCTGACACAGGCAGAAGGCACACACAAAGTGCTCCGGGTGAAACTTGCGGGACATGGCTGAAATGCAGCGACCGGTGATGGGCTCCCCACAGGCCTCACACAGAGTGCCCTGTCGAGAGTGGAAATGCAGCGGGCACAAGACGCGCCCCTCCAGCTCTAAGAAGTACCCATCTGAGAACGGAGCAAGACAGTCCTGTGGAAGAAGAGTGAAGATGTATGTAGTGAAAACCAATCCTCATTTATTTTACTCATAAATTGTCCATGTTGGTTGTCCCAATCACAACATCTTCATCTTATAAAACATGTTTTCATTTGTAAACTTGTAAGACAGAGTCTTGTGCGTCACTATTGGATCCTTTGGACCAAGAGCTGATGTGAGAGTGATCTACTCTTTCTCAATTTTGTGTGTGAAAAAGATGATCTAAAGATATGACAGAGGCCAAAAACATGAATGTGAAAATTAATTACAGAACAAAACTATTTTAGAGCCAGGAATTATTTGATGGATGGACTATGGATATTACAGAGTGACAGCTTCGTTGAATATTGCATGTCTTGTGATTATCAAATCAATCAAACTGTATTTATAGATTATGTATGTATTTTTTTATTTTTTATTAATTTAGTGTGTCCTAAATGACTTTGTTACCAAAAGGAGGTGGAGCAAAGTATAATAAAAGCAAGTTAAAGAAAGAAAAAATCTGATGTGGAAAAGCACCTGGCCGTTTTGTCATAGTTTATGATCCTTGCTTTTTGATTGATGTTGCAGATGTAGTTATAATTTTCATTTGGCAAATGTATTTATGTGTCGAATACCAATAAAAGCGCAGGTGAAAATATTAAAACTGGGGATGTTTTTCTTCTTCTTTTAACTTATTTTTATTTTGCCACAGGACTAAGCCAACATGAACATTCCCAAAGCCAAAAAGCTTCAAAGCACATTACCACAACTCTGGCCCAGCCTCGGATTCTTGTTAATGAATATGCTGGAACATTTGATTTGTTAAATTGCAGAGAGCAGTTACTCGAGTAATTGGCTATGGTATAACTTAACTGTGTTGGCAATTATATCCCCGTGCTTCAATACATTGAAGCACGGGGATGAATGTGTATGTAATAAGCCATTGGCCTCTCTGACCAAAATAACTATATGTCGAACAATAACAGTACACTTTTTTGAACAAGCATTTGACTACAGGATCTTTTTTACCTTTGTGGTGTTTGACAAAGGTATTTTCCCTTGGTGTAATGTTGTCATGGTGTGGTTTTGACATTATTTCTCTGTGGTTTTAGTTTTTCTTCTTGTCCTGTTCTCCTGGTTGATTGTCTGCCCCCCCTCGATATGTTTCACTTGTGTCTGTGTCTATTGACCCCTTGCATGTGACGTACCGTCCACGCCCACTCTCCATGACAGACGGAGGAAGTCTAACTGCGAGCCTTCGGAAACTTGACCAAAACAACTTGTTTCACTGAATAACAGCCAAAACTGTGATATTTTGCAGTACGGTTGGTTGTACAAACAGGCAAGGACATAAGCCAAATGTGTCTTTTTTAGGGCTGTCAAAATTATCGCGTTAATTCACGTTAATTACCGTTTTCATTAACGCGTTAAAAAATAATTGACGCATTAACTGCCATTGCCGTGTTAACGCGTCAAATGCGTTTCCCGCTATTTTCACGTTCCCAGATGTCTGTTGTATCAAATATGTAAGGCTTGAGGCAATCTTTTATCGAGCCAGCAGATGGCAGCATTGCTCTATGAATGGGTTGAAAACAGCTAGATGCACAAGTGCCTCTTTTTTCTTAGCTTTCTGGTGATTTCAATAAAACTTACCTCTACTCGACTGGGGATTACAGGGGAACGAAACAAGCTAGAAACAAAATTATTTTTGCTGATGAAAGTAGACAGTCCATTCTTTCAGAATCTGGTTTTGGATTTCAGATAGTCATTGTACACAATATTCTGTGGGTACCTGTTCTGAAATAGGCTGGCAGTCAATCGCATGTCCGAATGACCCGCCCATTTATAATAATATCACTCAGAATGCCACGGACACGTGCGTGTGTGTGATGGTGACAGCGGTAACGTGGTCATATAATACACACATATATACACGCACAGGGGCCATTCTCTGATGTTCTCTGATGATGGAGGAGAGGAGGAGACACGCTGAATTGCAACCAAACTCGCAAAATTAAAGCTGGGGTACCTACATTTTTCCTTTCATTAACAGCTCTTGTTGGTTGTACCCAAAAGTAGAAGGTTGTGTGCAAGTCAAACAGATTTAAGTACATTTGGTATGAATAATAATGTGTCATTACATTTGAAAATCTCATTTAACTTCAATTGGAGTGGATTTGAAATAGAATGTTAAAAATTTGATTAATCGTGAGTTAACTCATCATTACTATGCGATTAATCAACTAAAAAAAATTAATCGTTTGACAGCCCTAGTCTTTTTATCTGATACCTGCTCCTGATGAAGACAGAAGACGACGATGGCCAGCGGCAATCAATCAAAAGGACTGGGAATAATCCAAGTACTCCCAAATTCGTAGTGAACACTTTTTACAAGATAAATTAATCACAATTATGTATTTAATTTCTTTCCATTAATTTATTTAGAGGAAAATTACACAAGAAACGCTTGTCCTTACTACTGTGCTGTAAGTTCACTGCAAGATTGAAATGTCCTCACTGTGGCACGAATAAAAGATCTCTTATCTTATCTTAGACGTCAGTTGCATTTTTTCACTCTTTTCCTCTCCGTCAATATGTATCATGTTTGGCTGTAGACAGAAAAGTGCATTGCTAATGTGCTAATGCTACCAGCAAAATGTACGTATAAATCTGCTCCAGTGTGAGGAGATGCATTGTTAACGATATAATGATTGATGAGTGATTCGGGCAAAATTAGACATTTCATTTAATTGATAAAATTGACTGTGGGAGAAGGTACGGGTCAACATCCAGTTTGGCAATCCTTAAATTTTACAAACACCGCTCTTTGTGAGCCCTGACCTGATGTCCTACTTGCACCTATAACGTAATCAACCATGTGCTTGAAGCAGCCACTTCTCGATTTAGAAGAGGAGTCTCAGTTTTTAAGAGTTGAGTTTTGCGCAATGCTAGTTTCCAATACTTCCGCCGTAAGTTCATGCACAATCACGTGACTGGATAACGTCGATGCATCTGGTCAATATGGACCCTGTGCTCCTCTCCCCTTGTTGCTGGTCCATTGTCTTTGGTTGTCTAGGTCTGTCAATGTTCTCAAGTTTTGTTTGTATTTTTTGGTTTGTTTTTTACCTTGGACTTTTGTTTTATCTTTGTCATTAAATCATTAGTTTGCATTCCTGCTTTATCGTCCTTCCTTCATTTCACCACGTGTCAAATGTGTGTGTGGTCCTATAGTGACTCACGGCACAGACAAAGCACTCATGATGCCAGGTCCCATTGGCCGCAGTCAGGTAGTCCTCCCTCACCGCCCTTCCACAGCCAGAGCACTTTGGAGCAAAGAGGCGGTAAAAATCTTTGCTGCAATACGGCTTCCCCTCCTTCTCTAGGAAACCTGTAAAAGAAATTCAGTTTCATTGGTCGTTATGTTAAATTCAAATATTATATCTATCGGCTTGACCTTCAGTTCCAAAAATATCTCCACAATGTGAGCAAAAGAAGTGCTCAGGATGCCACGTCTGATCCAGCGCAGTCAAGATGTTCTGAAAATGCAAACATTCAACAAAAAAGTATATGGAAACTAAAAATGATAGTAGGTACAAACGGATCACCTGCAGAATGGGCCCTTTGCAGTAAGCACAGCGAGGAGAGAACAGTTCATGATAATCTTTGGCACAATATGCTCGTTCATCTCTTTCAAAGAACCCAGTCGTGCTGAGCTCTGTCTTACACACAGAACAGACAAAGTGCTCCGGGTGCCAAGTTTGTCCCAGAGCGGTGATGATCTGCAAATAAAACAACGTCACAGTAATGAGTGTGAATGATGATTAAGTTCAGAGTTGTAGAGCAGCTTAAACAGGTCATACTTGTTAAGTATCATTACATTGAAGGTTTTCCTGTAATCTTAGTCTGACCATTTCTTTTAGATTTCTAATTTTACTTTCTTTTTGGGATCAATGACATCATGCGACTAAGCAAGCATGAAATAAAATTGAATATGAATAACAAATTCCAATGTTTGTTATTCCGTGTACATCCACTGTTGTTCCGTTTAGTCCTTTTTAAAATACATTTTGTTATTTGCATTATTTCAAGGTCTGACAACAAATAGCGGATGGCAATGATAATTCAAAACAAAAAAAGATGCCTCAACTACAGCCAAAAAGAAATGTCCTCTGCAACCAATAAAAATCATACAGGCATCAATTAATAAATAAGGGAAAACAAAAGTTAAAAAAAGATAATTAGAATTTTTTCAAAAGGGTGTATTTTCTCCAAACTATTAATAGAACACCTGTCATATAAGATAAGATAAGATGGACTTTATTGATCTCACACATGAGAGATTTACATGTATGTAAATGTCACATCTGGCATGGACAGAATCACTCAAGATTGTGCAAAAGAAAGAAATGTGCAAACTTATTAAATGCAGTTTGCACATTTGCAGGCAATAAAGATTTAGTGGCAATGGTAGTGCAGGTTTTTCAGTCTTAATGCAGTGACTTAAAGTGACTTGTTGTACAGTCTGACAGCGGTGGGGATAAAGGCCCTGCAGTAGCGCTCCTTCCTACACTGAGGGTGTCTCAGTCTTCCACTGAAGGAGCTCCTCAGCTCCTCTACAGTCCTGTGCAGTGCAGGTGTTGTCCGTGATGGAGGTGACTTTGGCTAGCACCCTCCTGTCCCTCACCTCTTCCACAGAGTCCATGGGGCAGCCCAGAGTGGAGCTGGCCCTCCTCTACAGTTTGTTGAGTCTACTCCTGTCCCGCTCTGTGCTGCCCGGGGCCCAGCACACGGCAGTGTAGTGTATGACAGAGGCTACCACAGAGTCATAAAAGGTCCTGAGCAGAGGCCTGCTCACTCCGAAGGACCGCAGCCTCCTCAGAAGGAAGAGGCGACTTTGGCCCTTCTTGTTGGGCTTTGATATTATGGGACCAGTCCAGTTTATTGCTAATGTGAACACCCAGGTACTTGGAACTGTCCACCAGCTCAATGTCCTCCCCCTAGATATGCACTTACCTTTCCAACTATGACTTTTTGACAGGATGCACAGTGGCCTTTTGCTGCGGTCTTTACACCAATTTTCTCCAAGTCCAAGCTCAGGCCTCCCAGGAGCTCGTCTATTGCGTTTGTTTTGTTAGACAGAGCTGGTTGAACAGGTGTGTTTTCTTCTTTTGCTGGTTCTTCTTTTCTTTTTACAGACAATTTTGGTGCTAGCGTAGGAGGGCTTTCCTGGGGTTCTTGATGCTGTGCACAGAAAGAGGATGAGATAAGATTGAGATCAGACTAAACATAAATACAAATACATTTTATATTATTCAGAAATAGTGCTGTCACTTAAGAATGCTTCAACAGCTTAATGGCCATCACTACAACTGGCACACTCCTCATATACACATTAAAACAAAACATTCTCTCTGTCTGGTATTACTTGAGGGAAGTACCCTAATACATTGGTGCCACCTGTTGGTCAACTGATCCCATAACAGAAGGCCACATACACGAGGCACAGGGCTATGGGATAGCTCAATTATAAATATATAAGTGTCTAAACATTTTGTTTACCTGATCTGCCAAACCCAAAAGATCTCCCAAGATGGATTCCAGTTCTTCCGTTGGGGAAATGACTCTGTGCGTTGCAGCCACAGGAGCAGGAAGTGCACTAGAAATGTAACAATAAAGTTATATAAAAACCTTATAAAGACCTTATATGGACATTTTTGTGCCTTATTTTCCATTCTTCTCCTGTTGACAAAGAAGTTTCAATATAGATAAATGTTGGTTCACCTGTAGACATGTGAAGAACTTGAGGTGCTCACATTTTCAGTGAGTCCTGGAAGGTTTTCCGTAGGTTTCTGTTAACACAGATTATAAATGTTAGTATGAACGCTTCACAGTTTACATTTTGAAATATTTATGCTAAAACTTACATTTTCTTTGCTTTCTGGATAAGCAGTGCTTAGTTCCAGTTCTTGCAGCAACTCATCTATTTAAAGAAGCTTCATATAGATATTGTTTGGATACATATGTTTATATCTAAACCAGCAATAATAATGACAATAATAATAATAATAATAATAATGATAATATTAATAATAATAATATGCATTGGGTTTATATAGTGTTTTACGTTACATCTTACTACGTTAAGATGTTTGCAAACATGAGAATCTTAAATTGGGTAACAGGAAACATGTTGCAGAAGTAAAACTGGGAAACAATGCAAAACAGATGTTGGTCATTTGGGTTGTATGGCAGGCTAAAGCAGCTTAAATGTTTACTGATTTATTTTATTTATTTACTGGAAGGATAAGCCCCTAGAGATGAAGTATCTCATTTTCGAGAGAGTCCTCAAAAAAGCACCAAATGACTACATGACATGATACAGTAAGGCAGACATAAGCAGACAATACATAATCACACAATTCTTCTTCTTCTTATTATTATTATTATGTATTTATTAAATGTAATGTATATATTGAATGTAAATAGATTCTAAAAAATATTTGAATTTTAAGTCGTAATTTGTGTAATGCGGCTTATTAAAATGTCTCCAAGCGCTCTTTTTAGAATACAAATCACTTATCTTAAAGTCAGCAGCAGCAGCAGTATCAGCATCAGCAGCAGTATTAGCAGTAGCAGTAACAGTACTGGTAACTGTAGTAGTAGTATTAGTAGCCAACAATGAACATTTGAACACAGTGTACAAGAAAAAAGCATCTCACCAAGTTCATCCATAATTCTTTCATTCAAAACTGCTTCTTTTATATTGTAAGTTACTGAAGCAGCTTCCAATCGAATCTGATTATCTGTCACGTCCTCTGCCATAGGATGTCGTGTTGTTACTCAATCTAGATTTTTTTTTGGTTCTTGAGTTTCCTGTGTGTCATGCATGGTTAAGCCACTACAAACACATAATGAAAGTGACACTTGTGTTGTGTTTATATGTAATGTTTTTGAGCATTTAACATGGAAATAATTGCATTACATTATTTAAACATAATTAAAATTCATTATTTAAAGGGCTCAGGAATAAATTATGGCCATTGTTGAAGAAAATAAAACAAAAACAATTTTATAAAAAATGTAAGTAAAAAAATAACATAAAAATAAGAAAATGTAAGGAAAGAAAAAAAAACTAATTTTATTCAAAAATACAAAAAAAGGGTCATATGACTGTCATAACCAACCTGCGTGGACTTGTCTCGCACCACTATAGGATCTACCATTAAAAAAGTCCAGCAGGATTTGTTTGCAGACAATTATACTAACAAAGTAATTACGTGTTTATAAAATATTTTATTGCTACTGGGAAAAACAGAGACAACAGCGATGTTTAAATAATTGCTCCAGTTATATCATATTATTATCGAAAAACGTCAGTGGCCACGGCCCCGCACCCCTCTCCACATGGTTTGGCCCAAACCGGAAGAAGATTCATGTTTACAGCGCAGCCTTCAGCTTTCGTTCTTTCACAGCTTAAAGGAGGATTTTCTGCTCACAAACAATGGCCTTTTAAAAGTTATTGGAAACATGACAGCGATACGATTCCCGACATGTATTTCCTAATGAAGAAAGTATATTGGCGAGTTTAGCAATGACAGCTGGTTAACATTGTGAGGTTAGCCAGCAACTCGGAACACGGGCTAAATACAGTCGTGGCAGTCAATATTAAGGTATTGTTTTGTTTCGTTCGTGATATGATACATATTTACCTGTTGGATTTAATGAAACAAAGGTCATAATTATTTACTTGCCCTACATAACTAATACCTTTTGTAACAGACTGGATTCATATAAAAATATTGCGATATGAATTGTACACATTGAGATTTACGTAGGGATCAAATACATAATCTGTTAAGGCTTAATATTTAAAATACATTTTCAGGACCACTAGTAGGCCAAGTAGTAAGTTTAGCATTGTAGCCTTTTTCGATTAGTAAGTGTTTAAAGAATTATCTGATTTACTGAGGATAAACTAGGATTGACACATGGGTACAGTATACACAGTAACAGCATACAGTACACGTCATGGCATTACTTGAAAACAAAGCATGGGTTACAATATGTATCCGAGGAAATTCTGTTTTGTGCTATTATCAGCCTCATGTTCAACACAAGTTTGTACAAAATGTGTGGTGTTTTCCCTTATGCCACCACTGTCTGAATGTTCAGGTCCTAGTGAAGAAGCAGGCGTGTTGCCATGGGAGCAGAGAGCAGTGCAGTGCGGAACTACAAACTGGAAGAGCCGCTCCTGACTTTCCCCTCTGGGCCAACCATGTACTCTGCTGTGCTCCAGGATAGGAAGTCTGCCTCTGTGTTTGTTCATAAGAGAGGGTGTGAAGACAAGGTCAATAAAGCTGCTAAGGTACAGAATGAATAAATGCTTATGGTCATTCCTTCCCACAACCCTCCTGCCATTTTGAACATGCTGCCTTTAAGTTTTATGGAAGCTGCAACATCACCAAACATTTTTATTCAAGCAAAAACACCGAGCATTAAGTTCATGATAAGGATTTTTTACTTTGGCAAGATGTGTAAAGATGATGAAACTGGATTTTCCTGTTGCTCTACCTTACAAAAATATTTCTTCCCAGCACCTGAAGACACTGAGACACCCATGTCTGCTGCGGTTTCTGTCCTGCTCTGTTCAAAATGGAGGGATCCATCTAGTCACTGAACGTGTACAACCACTGGAGCTGCTGCTGGACAGCCTCTCTGCTGAGGAAATATGTGCAGGGCTTTATGATATTCTGCAGGCACTGGTCTTTCTGCACGAGAGGGTGAGTAGCATCAGTTATCTCACTAACCGGCTGTGTTGGTGGAATGAAATAATTCCATAGGGTTCAAATGTTTATTTTTGGGGAACAGGGCAAATTGAGCCACAACAATATATGCAGGTCATCTGTTTTTGTCAGCGAAGATGGCCACTGGAAGTTGGGTGGAATGGAAACTGTGTGCACATTCTCTGAAGCAACGGTTGAAGTACGAAACCTTTTATTTCCTGTTTGTTTGTGACTGTTGTTGGATTGTAACTATTTCTATTTCACCACAGTTTCTTTCAGCTATAAAGAATGTTCGAGAAGACAGTTGTGTTCCACCAGAAGAAAAGGTTATTCTATTTGTTTTTTTGTTATTGTTCCTATTTTGGGTCATACCTTCCTCACTCTCATGTTGTATAACAGGTTGAAGGGTTTTCCATGCTTCCGGAAGAATATGCTTATTCCAGAGATTCTTACTCCTTTGGGATCCTAGTTGAGGCTCTTATCCCTTTCTTAGATGGTTTTGGTAAAGTATACTTGTTATTTCAAAATGTGAAGTTGTAAATGTTTTCTAAATACTTACAATGACTACAGTGACGCAGGACCTCGTGGACAGTTTAAAGAGGTCTTTGCTGGCTGGTCTTCTCAGTCCAGTCCCATCGTGCCGGCCGCCACTTACCTCGTTGCTTACTCACGACTTTTTCAGGTTTGTGTCATCATTATTATTACTCTTATCAAACTATAAAAATCACATTCATTATGTTTTTGTTTTATCTGTCAATAGAAATGACTTTCTGGAAGTGATTAACTTTTTGAAGAGTTTGACTCTAAAGACAGAGGAGCAGAAGAATGAATTCTTTAAGTAAGAATCTTATTATCCTAAATGTTTTTATTCAGGGCGACAGTAGCTCAGTTGGTAGAGCATTGGCCTTTGGGCCTGAAGGTTGTGGGTTCGAGCCCACCGTAAGACCTACTTCACGACTCCCACTGATGACTGCTGTCGTTGTGTCCTTGGGCAAGACACTTAACCCTACTTTGCCCAAAAGCCCCAACTGAAAGATCTCAGCTCCTGTGGACTCACCACCTGCAGGAGGATCAGTGAGGGGCTGGGGCTATGTGTACTGGGTGCAGCTCTGACTGCCACCCCCCCGACCCAGAAATGGATTAAGGGGAAGAAAATGGATGGATGGATGGATGGGTTTTTATTCAGATATTGTTACAGATACTGTTTTTGGTACAGGTTTTGAAATAAACATCTTGATTTTTTTATTATTATTATTTATGTATTAAAATGGTGATAGAACAAATAAAATAAAGGCAACTAGGCAAAAAATAAGTACAAAAAACAAACAACCAACATTTATTGTGATCTCTGATTGTTTGATTGTAATGTGTTTGTGTTTGCAGATTCTTACTAGACCGGATCCAGAACCTTCCTGAGAAGCTCATAGCTTCTCGCCTTGTCCCTGAACTGCTCACTTCGCTCGTTTTAGCAGAGCCCATGGCCGTCAGGAGTTTCCTTCCTCATCTTCTAAAGCCAAAGTCGGGTAAGTCATTCTTAAACAACATAAACTATTGTTTGTCATTAGTATGTGACTCTGAGATTTCTTGACAGAATCTGGGAGTGACAGCTCAGAATGCCTGCTCTCTTTGCCCCTTTATCGAAAACATGTGATCCCTTTACTTCTGAAGCTGTTTAAAGTCAAGGAGGAACACATCAGAATGGTACTGCTTGCCCATATCCACATCTACTCTGAGTTCTTCTCACCTGAAGAACTTAGAAATCAGATTCTACCTCAGGTATTCATTTTCAGTTGTGTTTTTAGTGTGCCCCGACCTAGTTTTCAACAATTGCTATTTGCATTTTAACCCGCAGGTCTTACTTGGAATGAGGGACACAAACGATTCGCTGGTTGCAATGACGCTGCAGAGTCTAGCTGTACTTGTGCCTCTGCTTGGAGCTCAAGTTGTTGTCGGAGGAGAAAGAACTAAGGTCTTTAAACGCAACACCCCCAACTTCAGTAAGTCTACTGAAGTGACCCCTGAAAGTAAGTGTTCGACTCTATAAACCCAAAATGAATTCAGAGGACATTTCAAATATCTCCTGTTTGTGTTCAAAGATTCACCGGTACACAATAGTGCAGTCTGTCAGCCTCAGATAGCTCAGCCAACAAAGGTTTTGAATTTGTTTGCCAAATCAGCTACAGAGGAAGTTTCTTCAATCGTTTACCCTCTGTCCTTTAAATCAGGCATGTATCTATTACGTGATAATGCATTTTCACATTTGATGACATCATACCTTGTAATAAAATTCCTATGGGTGTGTTCAATTTAGATGTCAACAGGCAGCTGTCTCTCCCGCTGAACGGTTTTCACAACAAAGAAGTGGAGCCAATAGCACACAGTCCAGAGCAACACAGCAGAGTTGAAAGACCAGCAGAGGACTGGCCTGACTGGAGTGACCCAGAGGATGCGAACCCTGGAGAGTGTAAACCAGTAAGGATCCAGATCGAGTCCTCAGCCGCAGTTTCCCCAGAAAGCAGAGTCTCCACACGCCACCCAGAGGAGCCCTGGGATGATTTTGAAGACAACGAAACTACACCAGACCTTTCTCCAATGGCTCCTGACCCACTGGAAGAACCCAAATCTGTGAACATTACTAGTGCAAAACATAAAGCAACATCTAAACCCCTTCAGCTAACATCGGCCTCGCAACAATTAACTCCGAGCAATGACCGTTCCGTGTGGGACAGTAGCTGGACTCAGACAGAGGATCCCCTAAAGCCATCTAAACACAATGTCACTTTAAAAAGCCGTGGTGTAGGAGGGTTGGGTGAGGAATTCACGATAAAGGTGAAGAGGAAGATGGTGCTGGATCCAGAGCTGGACTTATTTGCAGATATGGTACCGGATATCAAACTATCCTCTCCAACTTTCCTCGTGGAGAATACTGGTGGACTTTCAATGAGTGAAAACCCAAAGCCATTTGACCAAGACATTTCCAGTGGCAAATACAACAATCCCAAGTTTGCTGCTGCCAGTACCACTGAGGTAAGTACATGGATAAGAAGTTATTTCAATATTCAGCTCTGTTTATTTTCTTCTTTGCTCACCACATTCAAAATAAATATGGTAGAGCAAAGAAAATAAGAGGAAAACAAATATAGGTGTGTTCATAGTAAAGTGCCAATTAAAGTATCTGGACTAAGGTTATAACTCAAAAACTAAAATTACTATCATAGATTAGAAAAAAAGATTCAAACACAGAGATTTCAAAGAGATATTGTGAATAAAATCCAAAGAAAAAATTGACAAATACATTTTTGGCGAAATGTTAAATGACCAGATCAGCCTTTTTGATAAGGCTGTGACGCCAGTTACACAGAAAATAAAACTTCATCAGTGACAAAGCAGCAGATGAACGCACACAAGACTAGCATGGCTAACACATCAGTAAATCACTTAAAGTAATAATTTTGGAAAAAAAATCAATTGAAATTTATATTACCCTTGAAAAATGTGTAACGGATGTGATGAATTCAGTACTTTTTAAAAAATTAAACTTGAGGAAAATAATGATTGTCTGGTATCACATTTGATTGGTTCACTATATGAAAGTATGTATACATTCATAATACCTTGGTTCTTTTTATTACCATTTTTATTTTGTTACAATATTACCATAATTATTAATCATAATCATTCTATTATGTTAATCCTGTAGATTTAAAAATAAATGAATAGATTTGGATTTCTTACGTTTATCATCCAAGCTGTTCCACCGCTGGACCGCTCTAATACACATGTATTTTCTGTTAGACCTGGCCCTGGAGTCCAGACCTCTGAGATTATAGTTTCTCTGGGTTGAAACATCTCTTGTATATGGTTAGGAAGCACATGGCTGTGTTCAGGTCAATAAGATCATCATGAGGTTTTAATGCACCTACAGTAAATTAATGAAAAGGGGATTGCCAATATTGAGCATTGGCTGTTGCGTTGGTACCAGAATGGAACTAAAACTATATTCCGTTTATATAAATAAAGAACTTAAGCTGACCAACATTGGCATACGCACAAGAAACAAATATATAATAAAAGATGAAGGGAACCCTGTGTTGCATTGCTAAAGATTTTGTCCTTTTTCCCCCTTGTTTCTCCTCAGAATGAAGCTGACGGATGGGGTGATGACTTGAACTGGGAGGATGAGAACGCCTGGTGAAATCAATCTTTTTTTTCCTTCACCATGAATAGCGCAATTTAATGGTTGTACAGAAATACTATAACAGGTGTATAATAGTACGAGTAATTCCATATCACCTTTGTTTTGTGCCATTTATTTTAACTTGAAGAAATCAATCAAGGGGCTGCACTTTCAATACATGTGAAAAGGTTAATTTATTAGTTTGATTTGGTGAAATAAATTGTTTTGTTCTACTTTGTTAGTTTTCTATTGGCTGCCTTGAATGAGCATGTTAAAGATCCAGTGCAACTTAATCCAGGAGTAGAGTAAATACAGCCCAAGACATGTTTAGGAATAAAATGTGTTTATTCAACTATAATACATTAAAAAGACAAGTGCTTGTAAGTAGCAGTACGGTCTGTGAATTGTACTACGAAGGGTGCATAGCTTGACTGATGTTAGAAATAAGCTTCTTTAACTCTTCAATTCTCAACCCCATCCACTGAGGTTTTGTGTGGGTGTCAGGTTTGTCCTCTAGTAGGCGCTGCAGAGCTTTTAGAGCGCCCTCAGCCATATCCAGGTGCTGGGTGTATTCATCCTCCTCAGTTTCCTGACGAGGTCTCTTTGGCCACGGCTGGAAGAATAAAAAAATAAATACTGTTGAGCTACATGTGTTATTCTATAGTCACATGACAGAATGTACACTTACCTCAACATCAGTTTCTTCGGGAAGATTCACTGAACCATTCATACTGTCACACTGCTCATTAAACTGGTTCATCACCAGACTTTCCATTTTAAGTCTTTCCAGTCTTGATGGACCTTCCTGTTCCCTGACCACCTAATACAAAACGTTTGGTAGTGACATAACTGCGCCAACCTTTTAATAATTTACCATAACAAACTTACTTTACTCAGATAGTTGACCACAATTGACTTGGTTTCTTCTTCATATAGACTCTGAGAAATGACCTCTTCGTGATTTGTGCTCTGGACCAGGAAGAAAATATAAAATGGATAAGCTTTTTCGGTTTTTTTTTTCTTAAACAAATCCCAACCTTTATCAAGTACCTCAGCAAATAGAGAGAATGCCTCTAATGCATGGTGCTGCACAGGCCACGACGAGCTTATGAGCAGCAGCCTGAAGATGTTACTTAATCTAGGCAGAATTTGGCCCTATGGGATGAATTCATTTTAATGTCAACCTTGCGTTGTCTCAAACTTCTCAAATGTACCTGAATGTCTGGTGGGATAAATGTCTTTCCCAGTGAAGATAAAAACTTCAATGTGGCCAGTAGCAGCTCATCCACAGACTTCAGAGACAGCACAGCCTCCACACACAACAGGGCCTGCAATCACCTTGTTAGTTCTACTTAATCCAAGACTTGTAACCAATCAAGTACAGACCTGATAAATGACTTGAGACTCTATGTGCTTCACCAGAGTTGCAGATATTAACAGGAGGGGCCCCAAAGTACATTGAAGCACTGGATAGGATTTTATCTGTTAGAATAATATATATTTATGTCACATCACATTTAGTTATTTGATTGCTTTAATGCACAAAAAAAGCAAAAGATCACCTGGTCTGGGTTCATTTGTAACCAAATCTGGGTAACCATCTTTCCTACAGTTTCTGTGTGTTGCTCTTCTGTACCGGACTGACCTCGAGCCACCACTAGGAGGCCCAACAGCACAAGGTTCTGAGAATAAAATACACGATCAAGTTTCTGACCTCAATCAAACTAGTGGGCCCATATTAACTTCCATTTTACTCAGACTGCAACTTAAGTAAAAACCCCACGCCCGCACTATCAAACACATTTCTGACTGGTTATATCCAATTCATATTCCTTACCATTTTGTCAACTTGGAAAAGCTTATAGTCATCTTTTTGCCAGTCACTCAAAATAGTTTGAGCAAGACTGATGATCCCAGACTCAATTGTCAAACGGACTTCCTGAGTAAAAGCTTTCAGGAGGACATGCTGCCACACAGACAGATTCTCCATTAGTGATGGTGGGAAATGATCCACAAACTGTATCTAAATGGCAGAATACACATGAATCATTACTTAGAACAGTGTTTCTCAACATCAAAGGAGATGGACAACAAAAGACGAAAGGGGACATCATCATTGGAATAATCATTAAAACTTGGAATTTGATACCTGATGATTTGGTGTCATGAGGAAAGCCAGTCGTCTCAACAAAAGCCCCAGGTGGGAGGATTGGTATGAATTAGTGGTGACAGTTTTAACCTTGAGAGAAGAGGGAAGGATTATGGGGAGAAACTGTATAAAACAATGTAGTGGTTAGCTTTAAGCTTCACTGACCAGCTGAGCTATGAGGATGGCATGATGCAGACACATTTCTGCTGTTCCATACCTGCAGGCGTGGACATCATTCATTATTAGTGCAATATATGTCTTGAGTTGTATCAAACAGTTTTGTCATTAATGGTGTTAGACAAGGAGGCCTCCTTTCTCCTTTTATATTTAATGTTTATGTAATTTAATAAAACAGGGTACGTCATGGGAACCACTGTAATCAATCATCCTATATATGCAGACGATCATGTTATCATAAGCCCTTAAAGTGCAGGCATTCAGGGACTGCTACAAGTGTTCTCAGCGTATGGTGCGACATTTGACAAAGTACAAGCCAATAAAGAGCAACATGATGATTGTGAGAAGCAGAGAGGATAAACATTTGTCCGTCCCTGACTTTCAGCTCTGCGGTCAGCCTCTTGCTGTCTCCAAAGAGACAAAGTATCTGGGCCACTTTCTCAGACAACTGGCGTGATGACAGAGACATTAAAAGACAGTGATGTAATCTTTGTGCCCAGGCAAACACGCTGATGAGGAGGTTCAGCATGTGTACACAGCTCCTCTGTGGACCAAGCACAGTCGCAGGTCCCTCCACAGACTCAGGTTTACAACAATGCCTTCAGGCTGCCGCTCCAGGTACAATACAATACAATTTATTCTTGTATAGCCCTAGGTCACAACAGAAGTCATCTCAGAGGACTTAACAAAACCATTGAAATTACCAACACAGGTCAGAGAATCAACAGTTAAAACACATGAAGAATATAAAGCACACACAGAAGAAAATGTCCATACATGTTGTAGAATGCTAAAGTGTCCTGATCATCACCAATCCTTTCTGTTGGACACTAACTGTCCAACAAGACCCTCCTGCATCGACAAGGAAAAACTCTTAAAAAACCCAGTGGGAAAAAGTGAGAAACCTTGGGGAGCACTAGGGAAACCCACAGGGAGGGAGACCCAGGTGCCCAAGTGGCACAGTGCCAGTAAACTGTTTGTGAACGCTCACATTCATACTTGTGAGGCTCTGACCTATCGCCTCAAGGAGCAGCCTCATTCAGATTCTGACCAACAATAAAATTAACTCATGTCTCTACACGTCTGCTCTGAGAAAGCACTGGACAGATACACTCTACGATCTATAGACCTGCTTGGACTGACTGTTTACAGATGAATGCATTGTCCTTTTTTGTTGCATTCCCTTTTCTTTTTATTTATCTTGAGTCTGAAATAAAGATTAATAATAATATGTATGTTATATATACATACCGCGCTGTGAAACACCAAGTGTCTATTGCCAACAAAACAGTGTGAATTTCAGACTGTAGAACAGCACGGACCAAGCACTGCTCCTGCAGAGGAGAGAGGGAGGTTCAAACCACAGTTGACACAACAGTAATTAGAAAAACATGGAACATACAGCAACAACTGAAAGTGAAAGAAAAACATTGCCTGAATGGGTGGAAATGGGAGGAAATCTGGCACATTCCAAGGTTAAACATTTAAAATGTGATAAGCTCTTCCTGCTTTAAATGTAATCAACTCTGCTACTGATAAGAAATGTAGTTTTTCTTTTGATTTTAGCTCCCTATAACTTTTCACTGAAAAGAATGATTGAAAGGTTTAAATGCTCACTAACCAGCAGTGGAAAGTGGTCGGGTGACAGCGCAGCCACACTGGCACAGAGATGAACACACACATGTTGGTGAAGTGTGACCAGACCCTGGGCCTGGCCGTTCACCATCACCCCTGGCAACAGCACAGGGACCCTTTGCTCTGTGGAGCACCTCCGTAAACTAGTGAACACAGCTTCAAACAGAGGAAGCCTGAAAAGACAAATATTGGAAATATAAACATCCAGTTAGTGTTTGAATAATGAAGTGACAGAACCCACATATACCTCTGTGTTTCTTCTGAAAAGACACTTCCAGAGAACCACAGCCTTTGCACCTCCTCTGGCTGAGAGCCCAGCTGATCCATTACACTCACCAACAGCAGGCATTGAGCCAGCTCGTGCTCAGGATCCAACTCTGGGGAAGTTATAAGAAGTTACAAGAATCAGGTTGCTAATGAGGAGCTACTGCTACTGTGCTAGCTAGAAAAGTAGGAGTTTTCTGAAGGTTGTATAATCAAATTGACATTGGTTTGTTTGTAGCTCATCCTATTTTTGTGAATTCACTCCTTTACATTACTTAGCAGCCAAAACAGACACAGACAATAGTCACAAAAACAGTAAATTATGGATTAATTTATTATTAATTCATGAATATAGTTATACATGGATTTGTATAAATATTTTTGGAGGGTTTGTCAAAATGACTACAGAACTGGTTAAGTTTAGTAGATTAACTTAATAAACTATTATTTACTTAACATACGTAAATCAATTATTACAAACTGACTTTTGGGCTCATTATTGTTCAAACACAAACAAACAGATATATTGGTCAATCTCTGCTTTAAACATACTTGAATGTGGCCGAAGGACTTCTTCAGCAAACGGCCGTAGAGCCAGCAGCTGGTGCAGAAGAGCGTCCAGTGGGATTCGAGCAGAAACGTTCAGCTCCTCACATAAACCAGGAGGCAGCACAGGGGCGATCAGGCTGGGTGGGAATTTACTGTCAAAATGTAAAGTCAGTATGTGTTTTCACATGTTTTTAAATTCTTAAAAACGTCCAAATATGGTACCTTAACATCTGGAGATAGAGTTGATAAAAGCTGTGACAATACTTTGTCATAAAAATTCCAAACTCCTTAAAAGAATAAAACAAGCCAATAATAATCAGAGGAACACATGTGAAACTATCCTATCCAGAGGGGCAGTGTTTACCTTTATGTAATGAACCAATGTGTTTCCAAAGAATCTGCACATCTTTGCAGATTTCTGGAACAACTTTTGCTCAGCAGTTTGTGCCATTTCCTTTGAAAGAATAATGTTATTATAACAATGCCAGAAACAGAAGGTCACAACCTCTAACCCTCTAACTGCGGACAAATGGCAGGCACACGGGTGCTGTTAAGAGATGACTTCTAAAATAGCACCAGGACAAAAACAAAAAACGAAAACTTCAATGAATCCACCCCATTAATAGATATCTTGAGTGAGAAGCAATAATAGATTCTCATGAGTGTTTAATATATGTTAAACTGTGCTCCTACCTGCAGACCAGAGGACTGCATCTGCTCAGCCATCTCCAAACAATTTTGAAAAGACGTAGACATGTTATCACACAGGCTGCTGCTGATGTCTTTGTGAGGCAGATGGTCTTCCACCCATGAATGGTATTTCAGGCTGTGTCTGAAATACAAATAACGCTGCAAATTGGTACTAGGGAAGTATCGGAAAAGTATTAGAAAAGCAGAACCAAGTACAACAAAAATTCACTAACTTGATAATACATTTCCACGTGTTGGCGTGAAGTGCCATGTCCAAGTTGGAAATAATTGCGCAAATGTCCAGCAGACTGTGGATAACTTAAAATATAAATACATTATTTAAAACAATAATTTAATTATTGACAGTAAGATAAGATTTATAGTAATTAAAACATAACTTGGTCGTTATGCAAACTAAACTAAAAAGTACAAATGCACACACCAGTCACAACATCAGAGACATCTTCATCTGTGGCACTACTGTCCACAGAAACACGGTCCAAAACCTCCAACAAGCCCTTCTGCAGGGAGTACGCGGCTTTAAACAGGGCCTGTAGCAGATCTGCTACAAGGGACAGGCGGCCGCAGTAAACCACTTCACTGTCCTAAAATTGTCAACATAAATGTTTAGTCTCATCTTTGAAAATAAACAATGTGCAAGGCTAACTCACCTTACAATGTTGGAAAGTGCCCTTAAGAATCTTCAGGACATAAGTCGGTAAAGAACGAATGGCATCGAGATATGGAACTTCATTAAAGGACAGTACATGATGCATACATGCAGACAGGGAGTCGATTATATGCATCATAGACTGTAAACAACATTTAAGACAAGTGATGAGGAAAAAAGTTAAACACTAGGGAAAGTGTAGCCTATATTATGGCACCTCCAGTATTCTTCTGAGAAAAGCACACAGTTCTGTGTTTTGGCTGGACAACCCTGCAACCTGTTCTGAGATCTCTTTTAGCATGCTGTCAAACACCGTCACGGCCTGTAACATTAAGTCGCAGTTACAACAGGACATTTAAGAAATTGTTAATTGTGTTATGATCATGTAAAAAGTGCAGACATTTACCTTTGGAAAAACCTTAGAGAAGCACTGATCTTCCAGCTCTGACAAACCAATGTGGGGCAGGAACATGTCTGTGATTATCTTCAGAATACCTGTTCAATAGAATGAACAATCAAAAGGGTTTGTTGCCGTTTAGTATTTGCTCATGAACTTACGTATATGGTCGTCCCAACTTTCTGATTCCTGATGCAAGGAGTGCACATGGTTAAGGTAAATACATACTACATTAGATGGGCTTTTATACCTACAAGAATACAGTATTGTTGTCACAATACTACATTTCGACACATAAAAAAATTATACAACTTGGAGAAAAAAAGAAGAGTTCTATCCATTCTCTTGGCTATTGTGTAACCTTTGACAACTGACAAAGACAGGAGGAAATATTCATAGCGTGTGCGGTGCCAGCAGCTATTCCCATTGCCCAAAAGGATATGGTGAGTTTGGGGAGGACAGACTTGAGCTCCTGGCGACATGTTTCCTGACTCCACTGCGCCACCTCGTCCAGGAGAGAAGTGTTGGTTTGGGACATGGTCTGTGGACATGACAGGGGCTCTGCAGTCATCCAGGCATCCACTCACTGTGATTACAAAGTTAAAGCAAGATATAATGTAAACTTTTAAACACAAGCGAACCGTCTACATTTTCCATAATGAACGTATAAAAGTCGTGGTTAAAAACGAAGCGCAGGCAGACATGTGGAACAGGAAAGTTAGCACAACAAAGACACGGCGTTAGCTTCACAGAGTCTTAGTTTGACTTCTTACCATAAACAGTATCTTTGGGGTTATTTCAGGTCAAACCTCTCGTCTGTGATGAATAACTTGAAGAATAAAACACCAAAGATAAGAGTAGAATGATGGACGTTTGCGCGGTTGTTTTGGTCGGATGTGACGTAGCTTTACTTATCGCTGATTGGCTACAACCAACAGTTCAACCAAATTATTACTAATTCATATTAATTAATGTTTTTTGGCGTTACATTTGACCCAAAACATCCTAAAACGTGTAAGAAATCTTTCATTTTTGCAATCCGTCATATGTTTAGACATTAAAGAGTACCACTCCCTCAGTGGCTCTTAATGTGTTAAAGATAAAAACAATTCTAATGAGATAAGGACAGTTGTGGTCTTATGTGTTTACTAAATGTTACTTAAACATGACTCTTTCTGTTTGGACAAGCAAAATGTATTTATGAATCAAAAAATTAGGTACTGGAGAAAGCAACTTCCAAACTACAGAGAAATTGAAGAATGTCAATCCATTTATACATTTATACATAGTTCCCACAGACCAATGAATGTCACATGACCTCCTCGGAGACGCCATCTTTGATGGCACGCTGCTGTGTTTGTGCATTCCATTAAACAGAAGAATGCGAATAAATGTAGATATTCAAACGCAAATTGGAAAAAAAGGGCAACTTTTGAGCAAATAATTGTATATTAATACAATGGCACCACAGTTTAACGTGCTACGGACATGTTTTACATATTTGATCAAATTATGCAGCAAAAATTAACAAGCAATGCAAACATTTCTCAAAAACTTTAGATTTAATACCAGTTGGAGCTCCATTTAATTTTAATTATATTAACAATTAATGTAATTAATGCTAATGCCACACGGACACTCTGGATTGCTGTTATTGTTTATTTCCGCGTTTTTGACCGTATGTTTTGGTGAATGTAGTAGTAGTAGTAGTAGTAAGTAATCTTTATTTATATACCGCCTTTTCACTGCACATCGGAGTCTCAAAGCGGTTTACAATTGTTATTTTTGGGAGTGGGGGTGCCAGTACAGGAGGCACATGCCAGACCTATTGTACATATTTTTAGTGGTAGGGGAAACCGGAGTACCCGGAGGAAACCTACGCAGACACGGGGAGAACATGCAAACTCCACTCAGAAAGGCCCTGGTCCAACCGGGATTCGAACCCAGGACCTTCTTGCTGAGAGGCAAGAGTGCTATCCACTCAGCCACCGTGCCGAATGGTGGGCAACTGATTTTTCCAGGCGTAAAGAGCAGTTTATTTTATGACACAGATCTTTTTACAGAAGCAATGCTGTTTGTGAACATTGTTTTAGCCCACCATAGAACTATTATTATCTATTTAATACATTTACGTTGCCCTCGAGAGCCTCGGACGCGACACCGATCCTCCTCATAATAAAGTAATCTAACGCTAAATAATGAAACTCTCAAGTTACCAGCTATCAGCATACACAAGTTAGTACTGAGTAAATTACGTCTGTCAACACATTATAAGATACGATACGCACCTGACACAAAGTGCTCCGAGCATATTCTTGCGTGTTTTGAGGGAGCTTCTTGCCTGTTTATCTTCGCAAACCATAACCTCCGTGGTTGTTCTGACAAAAGCTTAGTCTTCTCACATTCATGAAGTCTAATGATGGGTATACTGTAAAATCCAAGTTTAACGGAACCTCCGGCACGATTTGAACATCCATTGACCCAGCAGGAGATGACCATTTTCAACTTTATCACGTTTCAGCTTCTTTTTCTATTGTTTTGCCCACAGAATGCCAACACAAATGGCGCCGGGTCGGCAAATCCCCGTATGTAGTGACGTCATGTAGGAACTATGTATACAGTGAGTGCCACAGACGACAGAGGGATGTGATGTGAAGGCACACTTTGGAACCTACAGGTCAGTGGTAAAGTTGTCACACTACTAATGAATTGTTCAATAACACAGTGATATCGATAATATGCTGTCATTTGTAACACAAAATAATTGTTTTCCTACCAACATTTTTGTAGTTCTTTTATTTATATTACCATTTTTTTCTAAAGCTGCTCAGGAAAAGTTACATGTTGTTATGCTAGGCTGAACTTCTTCCACTAAACTTGCTCAAATTAGTATTTAGTTTCTATATGACTGTATGAACACCTGTATAAGTGGGTATTGGGTGAGCTCTGCCTTTGACTCATGGGTAACTGGGCCAAATGTTTTTTTTCTTTGAATGAAAATCCTCAAAATTAGAAGACAAAAATACTTTTACCGTCAGTTACGTTGTTTCATGGCCTGTCCAATCAGATCCTGTGCAGTTCCTTTGAACAGGAGATGAGAGGGGAATGCTTTGTTGGTTGATAAGATCTTGAGCGCTTGCTGTAAATTCTGTACTCGTGCTGCGGCATTGTTTCCCAACAGCAAAGGTGTGAGGCGCCACCGCTTCAGGAAGGGCCCTTTAATGCTCCAGAGTATTCACCGGAGTGTATAAAACCCAAATTAACTATAATTAGTAGGTTACAAATAGGATTACTGAGCTAAAGGCAGAGAATTATTATTATTATTTCCTTCTATTTTATTCTTTGATATGTGACCAAATATAGACTGCCTCGTAAAGGGGTTATAAAGCTTGAACCATGTCACATTTTGGTATGACCACAAACATAGAAATGTATATTTATTTTTTATTTTTTAACTGAAGGACAGGACAGTAACTGACATGTGTTGCCCTGCCTGCCCCGCCTGGGAGTGTTTCAGTCCTGCACCGGACTTGTCCACGTTCTGTAGCTTAGGTCCTGGATCATTAGCCTGTCCGTCCGGAGGAGCGGATCCCTTTCTCAAATGGGTCTCCCTCCCTGGGTCTCCCCAAGGTTTCTCACTTTTTCCCACTGGGTTTTTTAAGAGTTTTTCCTTGTGGATGCAGGAGGGTCTTGTTGGACAGTTAGTGTCCAACAGAAAGGATTGGTGATGATCAGGACACTTTAGCATTCTACAACATGTATGGACATTTTCTTCTGTGTGTGCTTTATATTCTTCATGTGTTTTAACTGTTGATTCTCTGACCTGTGTTGGTGATTTCAATGGTTTTGTTAAGTCTCTGAGATGACTTCTGTTGTGACTTAGGGCTATACAAGAATAAATTGTAATTGTAATGTGTGAATTGAAAGCAAACGTCTCACTTCAGATGTTGATTTTTACAAAAATAAACAAATCCTTTTTCTTTCACTTCTTTGTGGTCATACAAGAGACTAAAAATGATAACTAATATTTGTCTGTGGTTCTAACCTGACAAAATGTGCAAATGTTAAAGCTTTCACAAGGCACTTTTATAGAGTGACGATAATATAATGAGATAACGGTCAGAATTTATGTTACAGTGTCCATGGTCTATGCTTTGTGTTGTATGGCTTTATCTAGTCACTGTTGTGTGTGTTGATTTGAAATGAGTATTTGAGTAATTCTCTAATTATTACAGCTATTTATCTTTTTGTAGTGTTTTTATCTGCGTCACTGAAATTCACCCTCTGCGAGACGAATGAAAGTTCTCTCATCTTTACTTAGTCAATTTTTGATAGTTAACCTGCATTTTTTAGATTGGGTTTCAACGTTATTCACAAAGAATAAAGTTATTCCCAAGAAGGAATACATGAGCTGTATTCCAATAACTCTCCCTGCTGACCTGACCCCCAGTCTAAAAAGAAAAGAGGTTATCAGTGAAGAGGAAACTGGCTGCAGATTTGAGGATTTAAAGGAAGATCTCATTGTTTGTTTCTATAGGTCATAAAGTGACTCTCTGGGGTCACATAGCATCTAAGGGGAGCATCAACACAGGTGCTTTTTCACTGACTGCTGTTTTCACTGACTGCTGTCATGAAATGGTGTAGAACATACTGTAGCTCAATTCAATTAAAATAGCCCTCCAACTTTTTCTTGACCCATCAAAATATTTTTCAGCTCATCTATTCAACCATTACACTTCTGTGCAGTAAATGGACGTTTTTTTAATACTGCATTTTAAGTTCTTGAAATGAATGACAATGAAGACCACTCATTTTCACTGATGCTGCTTTATTAAGAATGTGTGATATCACTGGTACCACACATTCATATGGCTAATTTTAACATCTTAAGCAGGGGATCTGAGTCACACATGGAAATTACATGTACCGCCCTCTTCAATTATCTAATTCTGAACAATACAACACTTTCCCTTCAGGATATGCAAGTGATTCCTTCCAGCTCATGCCTTCTTCCCGTACGGACTTTACGCTTGGCACATTTCCAAAGCCCAATACTGGCGATAACTAAGTCTACTACACTAGTCTAGACTGGTGCTTTGTCACAGGGCGTCCTGATGGCCATAGTTGTTATTTTTTGTCATCGGACCAGGTAATGTCATAGTCACTGAAGGCACTCTTCAGCTTCTGCGCAGACTCTGCATGGTCAGCTTTGCCAAATGCCTAAACAAAGAGAATAGACTTACAAGTCTTGTCCATTAACTTGAATTATGTTTCAACGCTAATAGACTTACAGTTGATTCACCAAAAACTCGCATTTTCTTATCAGAACTGTTGTGCTCAATCTTCCCTCCTCCCAGACAGTTGCACTCCAGACCGAGAGACTCCATAGCAGGGCTCACTTTCTCAAAGATGTGATCTGAAACAAACAGGAGTAACTGCTGTCAAACTGAACTAACCATTAAATCAAACCTTTAATCACATAATCCAATCAACAAATGTTAATGCTTTTTAACAAGTAAAATCTAGATGCAGACCATCTCGAGGCACTTGTCCAAAAATGATCTATACTTTAAGGGTCTGCATTATTACACCTGCTGCATGGTACACCTGGAGGAGGCACATTAAAAAACACTTTTCAGAATATTTGCCATGGAGAGATGGTCATCATTAGGGTAAAACTACAAACTATTTCCATGGAAACAAGCAGAGACAAGATCCTCCTCCTTGTACAAGTCAGGTTTGTGGAGAGAAGAGCCGCTCACAGGCGCCATGTCAGTGCAATACAAACATTTCATTTCATTTTCAACCCCCTTGTCCATTTCTGGGTCGGGGGTGGCAATGAGAGCTCATAGCACCAGTCCCTCGCTGATCTTCTGCAGGTGGTGAGTCCACAGGAAGATAGCAATACAAACATACACAATGTAAATAACATGCGTTCAGACCATAGACTGTATATATGTTCAGACAGTTTCGTCCTCCACTCAAGCCAACTTACTGTGGTACTCAGCACTCTTCGTGCCCCGAACTATGTGTTTGAATGTTTCACCATCTTTGACTTTGACTCTTAATAAAATGTATTTGAATGTTCCTTCTGGATCTATCTCTACGTCCGGGACTTTAGCCAGAGCGTCTGCCATTGTAACCGGATGGTTCTGTTCTAAAACTAAATTGAAGTCTGTCTGCGGCCACACAGCCTCACAAGTCCGTACAGTCCAGTCAGGACCAGGATATGGACCATAGACGGTGCCACCGGAGGTCGAGGCACAGGACAGGCCTTATATGGTCTGGTCTTAAAGGAACAAGCTTTTCTTAAGAGTGGCACCACGGGCGCCACCTGCTGGCCAAGAAACAGACGTGCTAATGTGCAGGCACAGGCTTTACTCATATAGTTCTATGGCTTTAATATCATTCATATTTCTTTGAGTTCGGTTCCTGATAAGACAACATTTGCAGTGCTCTTTCCGACTTTAACAGCTAGAAATGTTCCCAGATGAATGAGCTACTTGCCGTGGGCATTCGTTTGAGGTTTGCATATTATTATTGATATAATAAATAGATGTTATAATAGATCCATGTATTCCATGTGAGTTGCAGAGAGGAGAACACACATGTGATACATTATTTTGAGGCTCTTCCATGGTTCGTCCTTGACGCAAACAAAAGACACATAAACAGTTATAAATAGAAACCATCCTCTACATTGATAGCATCTATCAATATAGTTTAAGATAATACTGTTTTTTAAATAGAAATTGTAAATTACATAAATTAATGTCATAGTTTGTATATGATCAATCTAATGATTACAACATCTAAGTCAGGAATGTCAACAAGAATTATGAACATTTCCGAGACCCCTGGTGGGATGAGGCACTCGGGGTCTGGGGTTTTCCACAGTTAATCCCAGTCAGGATGTTACTTCATGGAAAAAGTGCAAGGAGGAAAGTATAAAAGCAGCGACAGAGCTGCATGGCTTCAGATGTAACTTACTGCAGCAAAATCTCATATTTAGAACAACAAAAAATCTGCCAGTATATATACACACCGCAAAATGGTAAGTGAAGCAATAGATTTGTAGCTTAATTTCATATCGTTGGACATTGTCTTGATCTTGGTGCTTACTTCATACTTTTTTCCCAGATGAGTTTTGGATCAGTTCATACTTCTACTTCATGGATCACTTTGGTTTTGATTCACTCAGGTATGTTTTCTATAAACCTTCATTCGTCCATAAATTTCATTCCTTAACAAGCATCCTCTTCTTTTGTAGCTATATTATTTTGGACAAGCGCCAACTGCTGGTCTTACCACTACTCAGAAAGCACAATGAACTGGACTCAGGCTAGGGTCTGGTGCAGGGAGCGTTACACAGACATGGTGGCCATCCAGAACCAAGACGAGATTAATCACCTCAACGAATGGCTGCCCAAGAAGGCAGACTACTACTGGATTGGCATTCGCAAAGTCAACCAAGTGTGGACGTGGGTGGGCACCAACAAGCCTCTGACAGAAGAAGCAAAGAACTGGGCAGCCAATGAACCCAACAACGCCAACAATGATGCAAAAGGCAGCGAGGACTGTGTGGAGATGTACATCAAGAGACAGCAGCAGACGGGCAAATGGAACGATGAGAGGTGCGGGAAACTCAAGACTGCCCTATGCTTTTCAGGTAAGAAAGTGGAAAGGATTATTAATGAGAGGAGACAAGGGGCGATTTTTATTACTTAAGTATTGTTTTCCTTGTATCCATATTAGATAGATATATAGATAGATACTTTATTGATCCCCGTAGGAGAAATTCAGGTGTCCAGTAGCAGAAAAAAAAAACACTAGTAATAATCAGAAACAGCCCTTCAGGTCGCAGCAGCAGAGATGGAGTATAGCCTCTGGGTGGTGCAAGACATAGCAAAATATTAAACTCTTCTACAACTTTATATTTTAACCAAATATCTGTACTTTTCAACACCTTTTACACCAAGTGAATTAATTCAATGTGGTTAGCTATGCTTCTAAATCATGCTCTACGTCATACTCTCTGCATGGGGGAAATATTTCGACTATAGTATAATGTGTGTTTCAAAGGCAGTACTTAAAATGTCTCAAATAAATATATTCCCAGTCAATTATTCAAAAAAATTTCACTTTAAGTTATCATTGTTTACTTGAGTATTTACAAAAGCTTTTCCTTATTTTTTTTTGCTATTGCTTTTACTCAAGGAGATTATGTCAATACTTTATGGTCAATACTTATTCCAGAGTGTATTACTAGTATCTATACTCTTTCCCCCAAGTGCCTTGAACTGGTGCTTTTGCCACCTCTGATAACTTTATAGTATTCAAAGAACGTGAAATTAAGACTTCCCTTGTTATCCAGCTGCCTGCAAAAATGATTCCTGTTTACACGGAGAGTGCGTGGAAACCATAAACAGCCACCGGTGTCAGTGCGAGGAAGGATTTCACGGAGAAAAGTGCGAGAATGGTGAGAGATTTGTGCTTTTTTCAATTTTGCCTAATAATTCCTCCTTCTGATTTGTTTTTATTTATTTTTGTTGGCAGTGGTTTATTGTGGCAAAGATGTGGTTAAAGGAGCCACTTGCACTCACAAGTATGGAGACTATGCCTTCGATACGGAGTGCCAGTTTTCCTGTGACGAGGGCTATCAGCTGAGCATGAGCAGACCTCTTCGATGCACAGCTGACAAAACATGGTCAGATCAACCCCCAACTTGTGAATGTGAGTTCAAATACTACACGATCGTTATGTCATTGTATGATGTAATTGGACCACAATGACATCACACTCAGAGCTGTTTTCTGCCCTTTAAAACAAACTTAATTGGCAATTCCTCAGATGAAACAACGCTCTTATGAAATCACATGACAAAACAAATTATACCCCTTCCTCTGGTGGTAGTATAGGGAGTTGCAGGTGGATAGCTTGCCTTTCATCAATGTTTCACCATATATTATCCCCATCCATCCATCCATTTTCTTTCTACCCCTTAATCCATTTCTGGGTCGGGGGCTTGGCAGTCACCCAAGTCTCAGAGCACCAGCCCCCTGCTCTGTAAGTGTGAGCATAGCCTTGATCTTTCAGCGGGGGCTTTGGGCAGTGTCTTGCCCAAGGACACCATATATGATCTTCTAACACATAATTCACGTTCATATTATGACTAAGTAAAAAGTATCATTATAAATTTGAATAGCCAAAAAAATATGTCTTCTTTGTCTTATCAATTGTTTTTGTCTACACAGTAATGCGCTGTCCGAAGCTGTCCACACCCCAGTGGGGCTCCATGGATTGCTCCGATCCTTTGAAACCCTTCAGTTTTCGGTCCACATGTGAGTTTGGTTGTGAGAAAGGCTATGAGCTCAGTGGAACTCAGACGGACACGCTGGTCTGTGGACCGACCGGACAGTGGAACGCATCACAGCCACATTGCACTGGTAAGACTCAAACATCTCTATTTCTCATTAGAATTCTTTAACACGTCTCACTGTTGTGCATTGCTTTTTGTGCAGCTGTTCGGTGCCCATCGTTACCAGAGCAAAGTCATCTCAATACTACATGTGACGACTTGAGCTTTGGAAGTTTGTGCAGCTTCAGTTGTGCCACAGGCTTCAGTTTGGTGGGAGCCCCGACCCTAACATGTGCTGCATCTGCTCAGTGGAACGACAGCATGCCATTCTGTCGAGGTAAATGTGACATAAGATGAGTTTCACATTGTAGGCAAATATGTACGTATGACGCATTATGCTAAATATTTGTTTACATTTGACTAAAATCAGGTACTTTTGACACAACCATATAACTCTGCCCTCTTTGTCTAAAAGCTCCTGTCACAGTCCTGTAATAGTACAATTAATGTCAGTGCCGTTTTCTCCATTTTAAAACAAAAGTATAGTTCCTAAATTTGTTTTGAAAATGTATCAGGTGAAATGTTTTTGCAGCTGGTCAATTCTAACTTCTCCCTCTAGTGGCCGTTTATGGAGTTACAGGCAGAAAGCACTTTCGTACTCATCATACTTGTTTCAACATATATTTTTTTACTTACAATATTTTTTCCAATTCTAACACATGAAACAACCAAGTAAATAGTCTCATTAAAAAATGTTATGGCCAAAAATAATAATAATATTTATTCTTAAAGTGAGGTGACAACATTTGCTGAAGTTGTAAATTGTTTTGTTCTAGCTGTTCAATGTCCTGCAATCCCAGAGATGGAAAATGCTGTTGTAGACTGTGAAGGAGAAGCCAAAACAAAGTATGAGTACGGAAACTCCTGCTGCTTCAGCTGTCTTCCAGGATATGCTCTGGTGGGAACAAAAGCGCTAACATGCACTTCATCAGCAGAGTGGAGTGGACATATCCCTAAATGCCAAGGTACAGCCCAGTCACGTTTACAATATCCATACAAAAATAGAATAATGTTGCAGTGATTATGTTTTCTTCTGTTTTAGCAATGTATTGTCCAGTGTTTGAGGAAAAAACAAACCTCTTAGTAAAGTGTAATCATGACCTATCAGAGCTGGCACCTGGCTCCACGTGTAGCTTCAGCTGCGACCCTGGCTTTCATCTTCAGGGAGCGGAAAACCTCCAGTGCTTAGACGATGTGCAGTGGGACCACGCTATGCCAACATGCGAAGGTACAGGCTATTTAGTTTAGTACTTTTTTATAGACTGGTCAGCATATTTCTCAACACATGCATTTTGTCCACACAGTAATGCGCTGTCCGAAGCTGTCCAGACCACAGTGGGGCTCCATGGATTGCTCCGATCCTTTGAAACCCTTCAGTTTTCGGTCCACATGTGAGTTTTCTTGTGAGAAAGGCTATGAGCTCAGTGGAACTCAGACGGACACACTGGTCTGTGGACCGACCGGACAGTGGAACGCATCACAGCCACATTGCACTGGTAAGACTCAGACATCTCTATTTCACACTAGAATTCTTTAACACGTCTCACTGTTGTGCATTGCTTTTTGTGCAGCTGTTCGGTGCCCATCGTTACCAGAGCAAAGTCATCTCAATACTACATGTGATGACTTGAGCTTTGGAAGTTCGTGCAGCTTCAGTTGTGCCACAGGCTTCAGTTTGGTGGGAGCCCCGACCATAACATGTGCTGCATCTGCTCAATGGAACGACAGCATGCCATTCTGTCAAGGTAAATGTGATACAACATTAAGATTAAGATTAAGAGATCCTTTATTCATCCTACAGTGGGAAAATGTAAGTGCTGAATCACAAGTTACAGACAGAGGGAATGAGGAGCACACACCATAAGATGAATGAATAATAACTCTAACTCTAAAATAAAATAAAATCTCTATCTTTAACATAACGGGGATACGGTGGCTGAGAGGATAGCACTCTCGCTCATCAGCAAGAAGGTCCTGGGTTTCGAATCCCGGTCGGAACAGGGCCTTTCTTAATGGATTTTGCATGTTCTCCTTGTGTCTGCTCCGGTTTCCCCTTCCCTTAAAAACATATACAATAGGTTTGGCATGCGCCTCCTGTACTGACGACCCCGCTCTCTGTGTGTAGTGAAAGACAAATGCCAAAAAATAACAATTGTAAAGCGCCTTGTGACTCTGGTCTATGAAAGGCGCTGTATAAATAAAGATTACTAACTTACTTATTGAAAGGTGTCTAAAATCTCTAACTTTAGCATGATGAAGAAGCAAGACTCAAGTACAAAAACAATAACATGATCCAGTTTAACGTTTTAGGCAAATATGAACGTTCCTCTTTAGTGAATACATTGGCTCAAATTGTGGTTTTTGTTTTTCTTTCTTGTAGCTGTTCAATGTCCTGCAATCCCAAAGATGAAAAATACTGTCGTACACTGTGGAAATGCCAAAACAAAGTATACGTATGGAAACTCTTGTAGCTTCAGTTGTGCGACAGGTTTCAATCTGGTGGGAGTGGAAACCATCACATGCTCTTCATCTGCTCAATGGACTGAGAGCATGCCATTCTGTCAAGGTAAAGGCCTTCTCAATAAACGTATTTCAATTCAATTCAATGTATTCTTGTATAGGCCTAAATCACAACAGTAGTTATCTCAAAAGACTTAACAAAAACGTTCATTCATTCAATAGATGATGATAAATGTCCATACAAAATACTAGTAATACTATCTAATTCCAAATTTGAATACATACATTCATGAAAGTCATTTGATTTGTCAATACATTATTTTGTTTTCACAGTTGTTGCTTGCCCACTGCTGGAGGCTCCAAAAAATGGCCACATTAACTGCTCATTACAAGAGTCTGTGTACGACTCGGACTGTGCCTTCAGCTGTGATCAGGACTATACACTGGACGGGCCTGCCATTCTTACCTGTACTCAGCATGGCAACTGGACTGGAGACTTGCCCACCTGCAAATGTAAGATAGATTTGATAGTGTACATGTCACTGTTGTGCAAAGCTTCTCTAACGGTTGTAAATCCTAATGCGTTCGCAGCTGCACCATCTCAGTCCACCCTCATTGCCACCGCATCAGCAGCAGGGGGCGCTGTTTCGCTGTCTGCGCTCTCTCTGGCCATGTGGATACTGAAAAGGCTCAAGAATAAAGCATCTAAGTTTGACCTAAGCAGGTAAGACGATAACTATTTTGCATTTTCATTTTACGGTCAATGAAGTAACTTACTGTTTACTACTATTTTGTGCCTTCAGCTCTGACATCGAGGTTCCTCCACAACACTACAAAAGCAGCATTGACAGCCTATTATAGTCGATCATTTTTAGTAGCTGAAGACATTGGTGCTTGTTTATAATGTTTTATTTATCAACTCCTAAGGGAATTTCAAGACATAATTTTGGAGCATATTGTTCTACACTGCTATGATTGGTTCATGAAAAACTGTGAAATATTTTATGGTATTTTTAAAACTATTTATTTGATGGTATGAATTGTCATTGTTAATTATGAATGTATTACCAATAAAAATATAAACCAATTTTTTTTACTCGTTTATTGATTATAATAACAATACAAATAGTAATAATACCTCGGTTTTACATAGCATTTTTCTGGACGCTCTATGACGCTTCATATTGCATTTTCCAACAACATTTTGGCACTTAGTAGACGCCCTCCTGTGGCACCTTCTTCTCTAATCACCACTAACATTTCTCTGTGCTCAAAGTTACAGATCTAATACTGTTTTTTCCGCTACTGTCTTCTCTGCTCTTGCTTACCTTCTCGGAACTCCACCAACATTGAACACAAACAAAACTAAATGTATGTATTGGTGGGAGAAGTAATGCGTAACAATAACTCATTACTTTTCTGAGTAACGTGACCCACACTGATTATTAAAAGAAACATTGATGTTAATAGATTTTTAAAAATACAGTTTCAAAACATGTACTGTATAATGGATACTCACATTTCCCCTTAAGTGGACAACATCCTGTGACAAAAAGGGTCAAGGCTCTAGAACAGAGCTAGAGGTCAATGCTTGTGCCAGAGCTGAAATAATACTTTACACTTTGACAGAGGGACCTTGCTGCCTGAATAGTTGTTGGTATCTTTTATATAACATCTCTTAAAACCTCAATGGTCTAACCTGGAAAATGGGGTTAAAAAGAGGCCATGCGGATGTGGTTTCTATTCACAATGATTGTCCAAACAAGACTCTACTCAGTCTGATCATCGGCTGCATTCAGTGGATGAGGTAAACTTCCATCTATTCTACAGATTGTGATCAAAATGTGTATTTAAGTGACAAATTCCCAAAAAGTTGCATGGACAAGGTTGGAGGCGTTAGTATGTACAGTACCTGCTTTCCCTGACTGTCGGCACATCGTTTGTCTTCACACCTGTTCAACTTGGGAGTTATTCGAGAAGTTACAGTATGAACTGGACTCATGGCATTATTCTTGGTGAGTAAACATGTTTATGAAATCGATTAGGAGGAATTGGTGGCTAATGAAGAGAGTTTGATTTGAGTTAATGTTGAATTATGCAAGGTCAGAGCAGGCTCGACTAAAGTTAATCTACTGTAATTCAACTTAAAATGTGAAACAAACTCATTAGACACAAAGTGAGATATATTAAGCATTTACTTAAAATAGGGTTGATAATTGGATAATTGAATCACAGCTTGTAAAACCATCTGTTAAAGCAAAATTTAAATACTTTGAAAATGGACTGTAGTCATCAACATAATAACACACAGACTTAACATATATTACTTTGCATTTAATGACTGTATCTCATTTCTCACATTTTAAGGTGAACAACAGAAATACATTATCTTTTTAAATAACTTTTGAACAATAGTCTAATTTGACGGGTTTCACCTGTATGTTGGCTTCACAAAAAGTGTTTGTGTTTTCAATTAAAATGATCATTTTAATTTGTATTCACAGCATGTTCTTTGGTGGGCATCGCTAAGGCTTGGACATACCACTACTCAAATGTAACCATGAACTGGGCCCAGGCCAGGGACTGGTGCCAGACCAAGTTTACAGACATGGTAGTTATTCAAAATCAGCAGGAAAATGATTATCTTGTGTCTGTGCTGCCCCAAAGAAACTCTAGTCCCTACTTCTGGATTGGAATCACAAAGACTTACTCAAATGAGACTTGGAGATGGATCGGAGACAACAGCACTTGGATGAGCGACCAATCGTGGGCTGAAAATGAACCCAACAATAATCGCAGTACTGAGTTTTGTGTGGAGATCTACACGAGCAGAGGGCGCAACAGGGGAAAGTGGAACGATGAGAAGTGTAGCATGGCCAAGTATGTTAGCTGCTATAAAGGTGAGACGTCAGCCTCCTTTCAGACTTTCATGAGCTTAATTCATGTCATGAGATGATTCTACATGTTACAGCTCAATGCACAAACACCACTTGTGACCGAGGAGAATGCCATGAAGTCATCAACAATGTAACCTGCCACTGCCAAGCTGGTTTTGAGGGAGAAAGGTGTCAAACTGGTGAGCTAAAAGTACATTATATTTCAAGTTCAAATGAAGATGCATTGGATGTTTTAGTCGTTTGGCCAACCATTTCTGGTCTGACAAGATGAGACATTTTTGTTTTTCTTAAATCAACACATCGGTCTCATAGGGCGTCTGGCCATGCCCTCACTGTGCAGCTCTACAAAACAAACAGCACTGGGGCATTGTGGTCCAGCATCTGTTTCCGCAGTTTCCCATGAATCAATGTTGCACTCAAAGAGCTTACATCATCTGAACGAAAATTATTTAGACACGCTTCAGCAAAAGATGAGAAAACGCATCCATCAAATTACATAAGCACAGGTCCCATAACATGATAATAACTTTTAGTGCTTTTTCAAATATAAGAAAAGTTTACAGCCCCTACAGAAGTGTCATGTTTTGTTCATGTTTTAGAGAGCATATGACCTCTCAACCTTTTTTCCACTCAGCATTGGAGGTCGTGTTTACCCATGTACTGTCAAATACAATGTTCTCCAACCCTTTTGAGCCATGGTACACCTTTTTTTTGGAAAACAATCACATGTCGTTATCTCCAGCTGAAACTACAGTAAATGAAACAATGCAGCCTTAATACAAAGCAAAGTCATTCTCATCCATATGTGTTATTTAATAAATCAAACAGTCTTTCGAATCAATATTTTATTAAATTTGGTGATTTGTATAATTTCCATAGAACAAAAAATAACATCTCAAGGCACACTAACATGCCATGGCACACTTGTTGGAAAACGTTAATTTAATAAATACTTTTTAGAACTGTTTCTATTTAATATTGTTTTTTATGACATTATTGAGCTGGGGGGATCAAATGTGCAGATCATGCTCATCAACAAGAACTGGAGGTCTAGAAGAAAGTTTGGGTGTACAGAATAGGGTAAAGTATATGGACAAATCAAGATTTTGAGAACTGGGGGTCGTTTGGGTTGTTTCTGTTGTCATTATCATTGAGAATACAAAACCCGACAATAAACCATGGGTAATTAGAGTCAGTTTTTGCATTATCATTCATAATCTCTTAAAAAATATTGCCAACACTTATATTCTTCTTTGAATGTATGTGATGGCCCTGCAGCGGTGGCCTGTGCCCTGGGGCCTGGTCCTGATGATGGGGACCTCATCTGCTCCAGGAACCACACGGTGAACAGCACGTGTCATGTGAGCTGCTCTTGGGGCCTCTTCACCATCGCCTCTGGACCCATCACCTGTGAGAGCGACGGGCTGTGGAGCGGGCCCAGGCCAGCCTGTGCAGGTGGGTTCATTATCGACACGTACAGTACTTATACATACACACACACACACACACACACACACACACACACACACACGCACACACACACACACGCACACACACACACACACACATACTGATCTCTTTCTCTCCCTCTCTCTTTCTCTCTCTCTCTTTCTCTCTCCCTCTCTCTCTCTCTCTCCCTCTCTCTCTTTCTCTGTCCCTCTCTCTCTCCCCCTCTCTCTCTCTCTCTCCCCCCCTCTCTCTCTCTCTCTCTATCTCTCTCTCTCCCTCGCTCTCTCCCCCTCTCTCTCTATCTCTGTCTCACTCGCTCTCTCTCTCTCGCTCTCTCTCTCGCTCTCTCTCTCTCTCTCTCTCTCTCTCTCATTCTCACTCTCCCCCCCCCTCTCTCATTCTCTCTCTCCCCCCCTCTCTCTCTCAGCTTATAAACGGGCGTTGTTGGCTGTAGTTGGGAGTGGAGCTGTGTCGACCCTTTGCTGCCTCTGTTTCTGCTGGAGGCAGTACAGAAAGAGTGAGTATGTTTCCAATCTTTTGTATATTGAAAGTGATGGGAATTGATCTGTGTGACTTTCCGTGTAGGACAGAAAAACAGCCAAGAAAGGTATGCTGTACAAATACTGAAAATAAAATAAAGACTTTCAAATCATGATGTTATGGTGTTTTCCAGACCACCTGATGAAGACGCAAACTCCTCCAGTGCATTGTCAGGATAAATGCTGCGATAAACTTTATGCAACTTTCAGCCTTAGTATCCTATAATTCAATAATATTATGCAAAATCTACTTTTTGAGATTTTGACCACACTGTAACACATTTTTTTACAATGAAATTTCAACATTAAACAAATGTTATTTTGAAAGACAATTCAAAGATGCAAATTTGAGGAATAAATTGATTAAAAAACCTCCAGTGGCGTTTTATTACCACAATCACAATACCATAAAATCACAATGTGATTACCGTAATTTAACATAATTTTTTGCTAGCTGCAAGTAAGAGGTGTACACTCCTGGTTATGTTACAATTAACCTTTTGTTATAAAGGTAAAGATTTCAACTATTTTCTTGTATAAACTGAAAATGTTAAAAAGTAATTGAAAAGTTGTGTTCATTAAAGGAAAACAAAATTAAACTGTGTAGTTTTTTGTTCAATACAGAAACAGTCGTATGGAGTAATAATACAAAATTAACATTTTAATTCTGTTTTGTTGTATGTGAATGAACAGGAACATACACTTAAATCCTGAAATCACAAAGACATAATGTGATTCAGTGAAACAGTCTTTAACCGTTAAAATTAGCAACGGTCATGTCCCGGTACATCCCTCGAACCATATTTGCAGCTTTTTACCGTTTTTCTACAAGGACATTCTTCACAGTGCATGTTACAAAACCAGACATAATCCATCCATGCCATATAAGATATAATATGAGGAACTTCTGGCACAAACTCTGCCCCTCACTGTACCACTATGACATCACAGGCAATGCAGCTTTTGAAAACATAAGAAACAAAGAAATTAGTTCAGTGTATATATATATTATATATATATATAAAATATATATATAAAATTGTCCACTCACCTTTGGCCCTCCGTGGGCGGTTATCCCTCTCTAAGCTCGGGTCCTCTACCAGAGGCCAGGGAGCTTGAGGGTTCTGCGCAGTATCTTTGCTGTTCCTAGCACTGCACATTTCTGGACCGAGATGTCCGAGGTTGTTCCCGGGATCCGCTGTAACCACTCTTCTAGCTTCGGGGTCACTGCCCCGAGTGCACCGATCACCACGGGCACTACTGTCACCTTTACCCTCCAGGCCCTCTCCAGCTCCTCTCTGAGACCTTGGTATTTCTCAAGCTTTTCATGTTCTTTTTTCCGGATGTTACCATCGCTTGGAATTGCCACGTCCACCACCACGGCTGTCCTCTGCCCTTTGTCTACCACCACAATGTCAGGTTGGTTCGCCATTACCATTCGGTCGGTCTGTATCTGGAAGTCCCACAGGATCTTTGCTCATTCTCCACCACCTTTGAAGGAGATTCCCACTTAGACCTGGGGGTTTCCAGCCCATACTCTGCACAGATGTTTCTGTACACTATGCCACCACTTGGTTATGGCGTTCCATGTAGGCCTTCCCTGCCAGCATCTTGCACCCTGCAGTTATGTGTTGGATCGTCTCAGGTGCCTCTTTGCACAACCGACACCATGGGTCTTGTCTGGTGTGGTATATCTGGGCCTCTATCGCTCTGGTGCTCAGTGCCTGTTCCTGTGCAGCCATGATGAGTGCCTCTGTGCTGTCCTGTAGGCCAGCCCTTTCTAGCCATTGGTAGGACTTCTTGAGATCAGCCACTTCTGTTATGCTCCGATGGTACATGCCGTGTAGGGGCTTGTTCTCCCATGATGGGCTCTCCTCCAGCACCTCCTCATCTCGCCACTGCCTGAGACATTCACTGAGTACGTCATCCGTTTTGGCCTTCTCCATGATGTAGTTTTGGAGTTTGGTTGTTTCGTCCTGGACAGTGGCTCTCACACTCACTAGTCCTCGGCCTCCTTCTTTGCGGCTTACGTACAGTCTCAGGGTGCTGGATTTGGGATGGAACCCGCCATGCATGGTAAGGAGCTTTCGAGTTTTAACATCCGTGGTCTGAATCTCTTCCTTTGGCCACCTGATTATTCCTGCAGGGTATCTGATCACTGGCAGGGCGTAGCTGTTAATTGCCCGGGCCTTGTTCTTGCCATCGAGCCGGCTTCTTAGGACCTGCCTTACTCGCTGGAGGTATTTGGCATGATAATGCGCAATGCATTTACAAAACATTGTTTTGTAAATGCATTTCATCATGGTACACACAAAAATGTTAACACATACTCAGACCACTAAAAGTTACGTTTTCTTGTTTTTCTCCTGTGTTTTTCGCCTGTGTGAAATCAATAAAGTCTATCTTTATTTATTTTATACTTTTTTGTGCAGCACTTTGGAAACGTAACTGTTGTTTAAATGTGCTATATAAATAAAGTGGATTGGATTGGATTGGATCTTATCTTTTATAACATACATATTAAAATCTAAATTGCTCAATCAAATCAAATGTATTTTAGAATAGTTTGTAAAGTAGCTGTATTCCAAATACAATTACTCAAAAATATAATTTTTCATACGTAATCATGGTGCATGCATCCTGCCTCTGCCCAACACTGAACATGGATAACTTGGTTGGCTTGTGAACGCCCCCTGCTGGATGTAGGGAAATCTTTTAAATAACAGTCATGTGATTCTTCTAGTAACAACGAAAGTGAACTCTTCAGGTGAAAATCAGAATATTGTTTAAAAGTGAATTTATAAAAAAATAAATGAACTTATTATCTGAAAGTATATTAGATTTGAACGTGAAACCAAAATGATACAGACTAACTACATGCATCCGACATGTAGACACTGGAGTGTTCTTCCCCGCCGGGGGACTATGGACTACGGACTAATGGAAACATTCATGTTCTAAATGTACATGGCCCCTTTTCAAATAAAATAAATAACTAAATAAACATTTGTCATGTCTTTGTTTGTTACAATGTTGATGATTACGGCTTAAAGCCCTTTTTCAAAATGTAGATATTTATTTGGGGTTTTTTCAAGCTGTGAGCCATCAACATTATTTTAAATAAAGGCTTTATATTTCTTGCGTGTAGTGACTCTGCATATCTTAGTTTCACAATGTAAGTTCAATTGTAAATGCATTTTAAGTTATATGCATTTACAGGAGGAAGCTGAACTCTTTTAATGTAAATAAAAGGATTCTCTGCAACTTTTACTGCTGTTTTATAGAGAGCCTATTAACATTTTCATTTGTTAACATTTTCATTTGTTTGCTGGTTCAAGGGTTTGTCTGTGAAAGATAAAAACAAACTGCAAAACATTATCAAAATCTGCTCTAAAATTATTGGTGTTAAACAAAGAGACCTACAGTCTCTTTGGGAGGAGCAGGCGCTAAAGAAAGCTAAATGTATCTTGGGTCAGCCTCTCCATGCTCTGTCCTCTGAGTTTTCGCTCATGCCTTCTGGACGTCGTTTTTATGTACCCTTTCGGAAAACAAATCGTTTCGCCAACTCTTTTGTCCCCTCTGTCACTAAACTGTTGAATTCTGAAGGGAGTGTGTTTATTAAGTGACACCGACCTTTGTGAAATGTGTCGTTTTCTTTTAATTATTTGCTATTGTCTGTACTGTTGGAAGTGACACACAGTGAGTGTTGTGATGTGTTTGTACAACATCTGTTGGAGGTTGCAGCAAATCAATTGCCCTTAAGGGATCAATAAAGTTTTCTGAATCTGAATCTGAATCTGAATATTCCAACTATCCAAGTTTCTCCTTTATTTTGTTGCATGTACTCAAAAGCTGTCATCCATGTTAGTGTTTTTTGGTCTTTGGACAAGCCCATTGAAAGTATAATCAAGACAAAACAACACACTTGTTTATATTAAAGTTACTTAATTATAAATATATAATTACTGATGCTTTTCAGGAACAGTGTGATCCACGGCTGACCTGGGCATCTGCTCTGGTCCTACACCAGCATGAAGCCAATTAAAGTGGTTAAAAGACAGAAGGTTTTGGCTTGTGGAAGGTGCAATAAATAACCAAACCGTTGACGGGCCGCGGTGTGGTCGGTATCACATTTATAATGAGGTTATTGCTGCCCACTGTGCTTGTATGATCAGTTGTATGTTTTTTTCCTGATACCACCCACTGAAATTGGCAACGAATTTGCATACCAACTGTGCACATGCTTGAGCAGAGGAAGGGGAGCAGCTTTGTCCATCCCTGATGGTCTGATTCATCCATTCACCCATAAAGGCTCATAAATGCATTCACAGTGAAGAATGCAGGCGCTCTGAACATCTGAGTATGCAGATGCTGAGGCTGATAAAGACACATAGCACACGAAGCTCAGCTGCCTGGCACAGACATACTGCACTGACAGACACTTAGATTGTTCCTGACCATTGACTTCTCCCTGCAGCACGCTCTGATTTCATAGTGGGAAATATGAGAAGGTTCACGGCTGAGGCAAGGAGCCGCTCCATACAGTAGGCCTTCATATCTCAGTCACCCTGGGCACTCTTCCCTGACACAGCTTTCAGCCGCTGCCTTGTCTGGAGACCTCTGTTCTGAACCTACCTCCCCAGGATTGGTGCATTCCAAATGGGCAGAGCCTGGGTGGTCTCCGAACCTGCTGTAAGGAACTGAATTGAAGGGGAGGTTGAAAAATTTAGCACAAAGTGAGCGTTGAGGCTGGTGACTTGGATATGATACTTACCTGCCCCTGACCCACACAGCGGTCATAACCCATGTTACCCTCATATGATCAGACATCACACAGGAAAGACTGTCACCATGATGGAACGATAAGTCCTAAAGATGGACTGACCTGGTCCTGACCTAAATATACCCATGAACCACCCTTCCATCTCACACAGTTCATGTTCACTTTATGTCATTTATTTAAACATTGGTGGTTACCAACATACACACAGAAAATAAATACAATTACACTTCAAAGCTATGTACATGATCATATAGATGTGTCCCAAGTGTCGTGCATTTATCTTTGCAGCTGCTGCCATAAAATCTTGAACATTCACAGTTTGTGGTAGAGTTGCAGCCATTTACGTGAATGGCTTTAAGTGTATTTCAAAGTCTCAAGAGGTGAAGTATGAGTCCTGCATGGAGTATAGGCGGTCGATGGGAGTGAGCACTGAAGCCTCGAGGTGGAGGTTGCTCGTCATGTGGCACACTGGATCACTGTCCATGTCGGCATACAGACCTTTAAAACCTTTAAGCACACAACCCACGGAACAGATGAAAACCTCTTCTAAGATGTATTGGAAAAAATAAACATGTTTCAGAACTGAGCTGCAGTAAACATTTCAAATGCATTTAAAGCTATAAATGTTGGACAATATCCAGTCTTTCCTGGTGCTGCTGTGAATAATATTTACCATAAGGGTACATGTGGTCTCCCGGCATCTGAGGAGGGGTCAGGCCCTGTCTGAAAGAGTCCAGCTCAAAGTCTGGCTGCCCCATAGAGGTGAGCCCCATCTGCTGATGCTGGATGTGGGAGCAGGAGGAGGCCAGCTGCTCCAGTTCACCCAGACCCCCACAAGAGGGCGCTGTGCAGTCTGGGAAAATAAGTACTGTAGGTAAAAGCAATCATCTCTGCCATGTAATATATTTGTATTACAACAATACTGAGGTGCATAACTAAGATGCTTTTGGTCAGAAATACATAAATACATTACACTGATTACATATAGTGCTTGAATGGGGACGTGAAACATCTGTATTTAATCTGAAAAAGTTGTATTTAATCATAATAATCTGTTTTCTAAAAGCAAATGATAACGTCCAATAAAACTTGAGTTACTTTGATTGTAACAAGTAATTTATTATCTGTTTTGATTTTTGTATGGAGTTACACTACTGAATTACTTCAAAAACTGTAACTGTAGTTACTGTACTCCCAACACTGCTTACACAGTATAATAGAGTGGTGTGAATACCTGCTTGCTGTTTCGCCGGTTCATGTTGCTCTTGACTTTGCTGCTGCTGCTCCTGTTGCTGCTGCTGCCGCCTGGCCAGTTTCTTCATCTGGAAGAACATCAGCCATATTCAAACAGTGCATACCATGCTCTGTGGGCCGCCAGCCACCCAGCCCGCCTCGTCATTGAAACATGTTCACTCAGTTGAAAAGTATTAATAAGAGTACGAAAAATCTATCATTAGGGCAGGGCATCTACACACAGGCTCACTTTGTGAGGAAATATGGCTTTAATCTTCAGGGATCTCTAAGGCAGATGTCATCAGCTTCCTGTTGGAGCAGATAACTGCCTGATTTGTACCTGGCAAACTCACACAGTGGAGAAAGAGCCGCCTTATCTCATGTCGTTTTATTACAATAGACTTTGCAAATTCTACCCTCTATTCAGCAGAGGGGAGAGTTTGCAAAAGGACATTTTGATTCACATAAAAAATTACACACATATGCAAGTGCAAGTGTGTAATTTCATATTATTTTAGAAGCAAGGACAAATCAACTTCCGGTGACAAATGAAGAGAATTACCCATTAATATTAAAGATTACTGATCATTACTGTATATGAAGACGTACACATACACTTTTTATATACCGAAATGAAAGTGCTGTTCAGTTCGTTGGACTTTTATATGAGATAAGAAAAACCCTCATCCCACGGCGGGGAAATGTCAGTGTTGCAAACTGTTTCATCAAATATTCAAATCAAATGATGAAAACCACAGAAACTGACAAAACTACTACTTTCTACTCATGTGTGCATAAAACGATCAGGGTTAGAGTGTGTGCGCGTGTGTGTGTGTGTGTGTGTGTGTGTGTGTGTGTGTGTGTGCGTGTGTGTGTGTGTGTGTGTGTGCGTGTGTGTGCGTGCGTGTGTGCGTGCGTGCGTGCGTATGTGTGTGTGTGTGTGTGTGTGTGTGTGTGTGTGTGTGTGTGTGTGTGTGTGTGTGTGTGCGTGCGTGCGTGCGTGCGTGCGTGCGTGTGTGTGTGTGTGTGCTCTCACTTTGGCTCTTTGGTTCTGGAACCAGACCTGCACCACGCGCACACTCAGGCCCGTCTCTGCTGCCAGCGTCTCTCTTACCTTGGATTAAAATACAGGAAGGAGATGTGAACAACTCGGAGAGAGGACACACCAAGGTGAACATGTACTTATATCAATATATATATATAAAAAAATAAACCTTCCGACATGGTTTAGATGAAACTTCAAATGAGGCTTTGAAGGTGCGCCTCTGCTGAGTGGTCAATATGGTGCGAGGTCTTTTAGGGCGCTTGCACTCCGGGTCATCAGAACAGACCGTCCGGCTCCTCTCTGGCTCATCTTCATCTTCCTCATCTTCACTTTTACCTATGTACATTATGTGAAAACATATAACATTAAAATTCATCAAATTATGATGCTGAGAATCTCATCTGTAAATAGTAAATACGGCAATCATGTGCAATACTGCAGGGAATCTACACACACACACGCACGCACACACACACACACACACACGCACGTGCACGCACACACGCACAAGCACACACACACACACACATACGCACACACACACTCACACACACACACATACGCACACACACACATATGCACACACACACACAGATCTTTTATTATCTTAAAATTAGTCTGTATTTATTGATGATACACCATATATAATCAACTGATTTCAATTGCTTGATGAAATAACAGAAACAAATGTGAGAACTAAAGGTGGTCAACACATGCACATACTTGTGTCTGTGGACGTGGGGCTGACCAGGCCTTGGTGGTAGTGGTCTCTGGCACACATGAGCTGTCCCGCTCGCAGCACACAGCGGTCACCTGTCTGCAGTGGGCAAGAACACACGCTGCAGGTGAAGCAGCGCAGGTGGAAGACTGAGGAGCCCGCGTGCATCACCATCTCTGAGGGGGAGAGGGGCCCAGAGCAGCCTCCACAGCGCACCGCAAACAGACTGAAACACAAAAACACAACCACCACAGGGTAAATACAGCACTTTGTGTGGACACTGGGACTTAAGCCCCAAGCACCACTTTTACACACTGAAGTCTACATAAGGAAAGCCTGCTTGACTTGAGGAATGTTGCTCAGTTTATCTGTCACTCAAAAGGCCGGGTCCCCACATCCTCCCACTCAGACACATACCCTCAGTGTGGCGGGTGTGCGTCTTAGCGCCTGGCAACGCTATGCTGGTGTTAGGCAAAGAGACTGTTGCCGTGGCTTCGGCAGCCTGCCCCGGGGTGTGCTCCTGGGGAGCCACAGAAAGGCTCTCTGCAGGCCATGGCTCCAGGACGAGGGGGGAACTAGCTCTCCTGATGAGACAGACCCAGACACCGCTCTCAGGAATTATCCGCAGAATTATCCTTAAGACTGCTTAACCAGAACAGGACAAAGGAAGAGCCAGCCCCCAAGCAGCAGGACTATTGTCCACTGTGCGGCACTGCTACATATCAGGTTTGTTCTCCCAATGTAGAGTCATGATCGTTGAGATGCGGTTTGTCTCCAAGAAGACTGGGTCAAACACCAGTCACACACAGGCATGAAGTTATGGACCCTCCACTGCTTTTCTCCAACTTCAATTACAGACACCATATTGAGGCCATATTGAGTAGCTATTTCTTTTTGACCATCTCCTCCTTGCCTCCTTTCTTTCATTTTATAACAAAAACAAAAAATCCAACTCAATTTACAGAATAATTATTATTAACTAAACGTAAAAAATTTAATATGTTTTCACTATTTTTGTGCTTATTTGTGCATCTGCATTGTAAACACTGGTTGTTCCCGTGGGCAGCTACATCCTGAATCCACACATTGCTCTGAGCTCTTATTGTTGCCGTGGTGTTTCTGGGGGGACTTTCATGTCAAAGGGGCTGAAGAGGGTCAGTCTGTCTTCTTGACCTGACAGAGCCTCTAGCCCAATGCAATGGTATGTGCTCTAATATGACCAGCATACCTTTGTAGTGCACACATTCCTGAGACTGAAGACGCATCAATACACTGTGTGTCAGAAGATTATTCACAAATGTTTTAGTGTTTCCATGATACAACACTTATTTCAAGATGATGTTAATATATAATGACAACAGAGCACAAAGTGTTTGCATTAAAAGTTGTACACGCATTCAGGTTTTTGAGAAATGCTTTCCCAGTATACTCACGTCCACTAGTTTGTGTTATTATATTATCTAGCCCAGGACTTTTAAGCTGTGTTAATGCGGAGGCAAGAGTATTATGGAGGAGCTCAAAGTGTTTAATATTTCAAAGTTTCCGTCTACATGTTTGGCCCAGAGACTTTGTCCAGAGTGCAGGAGCACTCAGTCACGCTGGCTTTGGACATGGTAATTAGTGACATAATTATAGTAGAACAGTCAGCAAATGCACACTGCACTCAGCTCTCACCTACGGACCAGATAGACATCGCAAAAGAATAAGGCTGATATGAAGGCCGATGGTTTTTGTTGTTGTTTTAACTTGTTGACCTTTGGCTGCCGCTGGTGAAGTGAACCCAGGGCAGATCCAGTTTCTGGATCAGGTTCACCTGGTCTGGAGCTCCACTCACTGTATGAGATACAGATCAGAGGGTCAAGTACAACGTCCATCAGGACCTAATCTTTGGACAATTCTGACGCCCACCACACCTGTGTCCAGTCTGCATCTGCAGACACGTACAGTAAATACAGTGAGATGCAAACAGCAGTGGGAAAATGTGTCCTCTGCATTTGACCCATCCTACATTACCACAGGGCCGCTATCAGCGCCCAGGGACCCATCTCCAGATGTTGATGCTCGGATGTGTCAGGACAACCAGAGCTGGAGGATTGTACAGGAATTTTATTGGAAATGGGACAAGAAACAAATTATTACGTTTTGGTGGATGTACGGATCAGGATCCAGAAGGTTTTACTTTTCTAGTTTTCGATATATTTATTGTAGTAACATAATATACACAATACATGATTTCGTAAAATATTTATATTTCAATTTAAAAAGTATGTATATGTACAGTACATTGAGTGCACATATACATGTACATATATTGTTGCAATTAGATTGTGGAAACAGTTGGTCTACTTTCCAAGAGTGGGAATGAGACAAAGGGTAATATTGAGAATTCCAGCCTTTTTTTAAATAGTCAATATTATTCAAATGCATAAGCTAAAACAAAATGACAGAGCCATAATTAACCATAAAACTGACTTAATCATCCTTAATTGCTAAAATTGTTATAGTATCATTAGCACAAATCTCACTAAGAAAAAGTACAAAAATGTTTTGGCTTAAGATATGTTTCGTTCCCTCAGTCAATTATTGAAGCCAATAGAGTAATTAAAGTGAACACTTAAATGGTAAAGACAATAGCAGGGTCTGCATGGGACAGGTCATGGTGAGACCGAGGGGAAGCTCTCTGGCTCTCTGCCTCCTGCTAATTGGTCGGGTTAGATATCCCATGGATGACTGAGCCCCGTCCCATCGCTTGCCATAAAAGTGAGTCTGTGTTTCCAGATGCTACGGTGAAATGTCCCCAAAATAATTGCTGTGGTAAACCGCACCAGACCATCTGTAATTTTGTCACCTCTGCTAATGACATATTTTCTGAATTGTTATTCACTTTTGGTCATCAAAGTGATCTATAAATACATCTATCAATGTCAATGATGATCTAGAAATGACGTCATACCAATAAATTGTATTTCAAAATGATAAGTTTCGTCCCCAGAAAGGGAATCATGACTTTCTAGACCCTGGGCAACTTAATGGTTATATTTTGTATATACTGGTATGTGTTGGCTCTGAGTGGATAATAAGCAGATACACTGGACCGGCCCATGCTCCGTTATAAAGGGGGGCACCTCTTCCATCCGACCATATGTTGTCCCCAGCTTGCTGTTGCCACGCCAATGGGCCTCCAAGTTTTAACACATTTTGACAACGTGTCAGTTGTGCTCTTCTCCTGGTGTGTGTGTGTGCGTGTGTGTGTGTGTGTGTGTGTGTGTGTGTGCGCGTGTGTGTATGAATGTGGTCAACAATGTTTTCCTCGTGGATGTGTGTGGATATAAATGAACCAATAGCACTTCCACTGAAGCTCCCTAGCCACATTTTTCTCCTCTGGTAACCTTGTTTTTTGCAAAGCTTTATGTTGCAAGTGATTTCTTTATTTAAGAAGCTACTGTATGTGATAGCCTGAATACAGCCCAAAGCACAAAGCCATTACTTTAATAGAAAGAGCCCAATATGTGCGAGTAAACATGGCCTATAGTCTTTCTCAAGGTCAAATCTTTAAATGCAACAACCCAACCCATGGGTTACGGCCAGTTTTGGAGCACTCTAAAATTATAAAATATATTTATATTATAGTTAATGGGATTTAAAAAAAAATATATATATTATTATTTATATTTGCCTTCAATATTACTGGTTTCATAATGTACCACTAATAATATCACACTGATTGTGTTTAAATGACATTGGTCAGTTTTATTTCAAATTCTTAAACAACAGTTGTTTCAGGAGCAGAAATCTGTTTTGTTATAAATAAGTTATATTAAATATAATTATCATCTTTTTTAATATAAATTATAAATAGTGAGAAAACAAAGCAAACGTTCACGTGTGAATGTATTTGACCAATATACTTCAAAGAATAATGTATTACAAAAGTTACTCCAAACACTGGTTATGGCTGATAACGTGGATGAATAGAAAGTAAATGTAAACAATAGCCCTGCAATGTAAACAGCTACAATATGACTAAAAACAGCGATGGTTTGTTGTGTATGATTTCTAGCCCGAAGAGCGGTGTGTGGTTTGAACACAGTGGACTTGTGAAGGTGAAGATGCTTCTCAAAGGTTCTGTCACTCACAGTTCGTAGTCCTTCTTGCAGTAGAACTTTTTCTCCCGTATGAAGCAGGAGTGCGTGAGCGGGACCCCGCAGGCGGCGCAGCGCACACAGCGCTCATGCCACAGGCCCCCGGTGACTCTGAGGAGGAAGCGCTCTGTGATGGCCCCGTGGCACCCCGCACACACGGCCTGCTCCGGCATGGCTGCACGTACAAGGGGCATCATGTCACAAACACTGCACGTTACAAAGAAAGATAAAATACACAAATGCAAAACAACAATGAATTCTTGCGTTTAGGATAAATGCATGATATTCACAAACCCATGCCAAAGCTGACCTGAAAAGTCCCTCTGCAGACTCGCGGAAGCCTTTCAGAACATATTCGCCTCTATAAGTTTGTTGGCAGCAGTATCCCTGGCTCTTCAACTATTGTCCCGCCTTCAGCAGAGCTCAGGCCGGTGTGTGTGAGAGAGAGCCGCGCAGAGGAGAGCGGAGGGGAGCAGAAGCTGGAGCAGAGTGGAGTGCGTCTCTTGTCTGTGCAGGTGCAGGTGCCCCTCGCCCCTTCCACCCTCCGCGTTTACAGTGGGTCTCTGATGTCTCTCTCACCTCTCACTATAGGCGCCATGCCTCTTGTCACAAAGATGGGGATGAAGAATAGGATGATGAAAAATCCACAACAGCCAATCAAAAAGCACTACATGACAAAACATGAATGACTTTTACTTCCCCTGAGGTGTACAGAATAATTGTCTAAAAACAGCACAAGTTTAAAAAGTTCGATAAAAGTATATAGACTATAAGACTATAGAAAAATTGCCCCTTTAGAACGAAAATTGTAAAGCGCTTTGAGAGACCTTGGTCTTTGAAACATGTGTGTTAAGTCCTTCGAGATAATTTAGGGCTATACAAAAATACATTGAATTGAATTGAAAACATAAAGCTATAGGAGGTTACTTACATATATATAATAATTTGAAGAATGATTCTTATTAAAGAAAAGTTGGATGAAAATGCGGGGGGAATATAACCAAAAGATCTATATGTATCTAACCAAAAAAATTGAGATATATCTTTGATTTTGTGCAAACCCATTGTGAACGTGTTTTATACTGGCACAGAATAAAACACGTTATTGACTTAAAATCCGTCATACTATTTATATTGTTCAAACTTTGTGTCGATCTGTTTCAAAATTGAATCAACTTGCAAATGTCTAATCCGTACGAAGTAGAGTGCAGAATATACTTTTAAAAGTATTATAGATTTAACTAGTCAAGTGCAGATAGAATGCACTATAAGCACTATATGCGCTATAAGTAAATTAGTAAAACATACAACTTTGAGTGTATCACAATACAGGCATGTGGTATTATTGTTAAACTATTTAGATCTAGAAGAAACAAACGTATCTGATAATAATAATAATGATAATGATTCAGAAACTTGTTTTGTGAATTTGAGAATGTTTTGTTCATGTGGCAGAGTGCGGGTGTCTGCATATCTCACTGAACCTGTACACTTCACTACGTGTCTGATCAGATTAAGAGATCCTTTATTCGCCCTACAGTGGGGAAATGTCAGTTTTGCATCGCAAGTTACAGAACAGAAGGAATGAGGAATAGGGATTGATATCATCCATTGGGAATTCTCAATTTTCTCTCGTTTCCTGTGGTAGTTAGCGCCGCCCACTGGTCAGCAGGGTAAAACTTTCATGACCTTTCAATTCATGTTATTTAGAATTCTTTCTTTGCTCATAGTCTATACATAGTCTCATAGGCCTATACATACTGACAATGAATCACAAACGCAGATAATAGTATTTTAATAATACAAATAACTTTATTTTGTAGGAATTCACAGAAGTGGTTTACAAATGGAAGGTTGGTTCTCGGTTTATACAATTTCATACAGTAGTAAAATATTATTTTCAGATTGCATTGGGTGGCTTTGAGACCTGACAATATCTATTTACAAATCCACTTGTTAAAAAGGCTGCAGACTGTGCAGCTGATGCTCGACCCTCATAATACTTTATTCAAGTTTAATTACATTTGTCTTGCATGGTACAAAATATGCTTCTTTACAGTTAGAGGAAGTCTTTAAGCATTAGTGGGGGTATGTACAGGGGCCTGGGGGGGGCTGGTGTCATGTGATCTGATGCGGCGCCTCCAGCATCTCCATCAGGAACGTGTCGATGGGCGTGTCGCCGATCAGCTTAAAGAAAAACAAATGTTCCAGACATTTAAGGCCAATGGAGCGAAGAGCAGGGAGGCGCAAGAGGAGCTTTGCAAATCTGGAAAGACACATGAAAGAATCCACAAAGTTAAACTATATTCGGCAAAAGTTCAGTGCAGTGTTAGTGGTGAATGTGGACCCACAGGACCCACTGGAGCTGGATTCTTTATTGAGTCTGTGTTTTGTTATGTCTCTTTTGATTTCTAAGGACGTTTTTGTGTCAGGTGCAAAGCTAATAAAAAACATATAACATTTAAAATGTGTCAAAAGGTTGTATTCCTCTAGCTACAATCTTCAACATGTTGATGCCGTCCACTTTAACCAATCAAGTGATGCCAAGGGCTGTCAATCATCGCGCTGATTCTTGTAGCCGCGCTCATGCTCAGTTGTTTCTTTTCACGGAGCTTCTGAATCAAGCCTCCATTAGGCTCTGGAACTACATGAAAACTGAACAAAGAATTCTGAACATCCGCGCTGAGTTACCCATTTATATACTGAACCTATATCCATAATCATTTATATACTGAACCTATATCCATAATCATTTATATACTGAACCTATATCCATAATCCTAAAATGTTCAATGAATGATAATAGCTACTTCTGGGTTTACCATGATCGCTTTTTTTGTGCATTAAAACATTATTTTTGTCATGAACAGATAATTCTGAAAACCTCCGTGCATGTGTATTAATAGTGTATAAGTATAATGTGTTCTAAGATTTACATTTAAATGTGTTGATTGATTGTTACAGAAACGTAGGCGTAGACCAATCAGAAAGGAAGGGGGAGGAGATTGGGTCGGTTTTTTTCAAATCATGTACCGCTCTCTTTTTTCTTGACAAACTCCAGACATTTTCACCGACAGAAGGACATGTGACCCACCTGCCGGGCTGGTCCGGGTATTTCTGCTTTGTATACGACTCTAACGACGCGTACACCTTTTCCCTCAGTGCTTCTACTTCAGATGCGTTTGAAAGACCTTTTGCATCTGGTAAAAAACAAAACAAACATAATCAACTGCTTGCAAAGGCAACTTCAAATGTCTGTTAAAAAGGACACGGCACAAACCCGGATTAAAGAGGACAATAGCCCGTAGACATCCTAGTTCTGTCTTATCCATCTGCATGTCTTTCATTTTAGAAACGAGCTCTGTCAAGACTCTGCAACGAAAACAAGAACACGTTACTCACAAAGTGCACATACAGCTCTTGATTAATTAAATAGTTATTATTAGTTGATTATATTCATATTGTCAAGCCGGTCCGCTCCTTGGCAAATCAGATTATTAACAGTAATATCAATAATAATCATAATCTATTTATAATTATTCATGTTTATATGGACAACATTCATAATAATAGTCTTAGTAATAACAAACAATGATGAATGAAGTATATTTATAGTAAAATATTGTCAGTGTGTATACAATTGAAATCATTGTTAGCCTATTTAGTGTACACGGTTATTGGACCTGACCATTAACCATGGACTAATTAACCATGGATAATCAACATTATTCATCATATTAGTAATGTTGTATTGTCCCTACTCATGGTGTGTATATCCTGTATACGTGTGTACTTGTGATAGGTTGTTATACTCAGGTAAATGGATTGTGCATACAGTATCTATGAAGCTCTAATTCAGAGTTTAATGTCAGCAGCTTTGGTCTATTTTGTTAAAGTGATAGTCTGTAACTCTAAATTAATTACAAATTTTAGGAAATGTGTTAAATTGACCTCCTGGCCTTAAATGTTGATGTAAAATAAGTCATTTTATTAATTCTAATATTACGGGCAAGTCCCGCCTTCCCTTCTCTTAGCTTTAGCTCAGAATCCACGATGCCATCGAGGTTAACCAATCGAGTCATGCCATGGGCTGTCAATCATCGGCGCTGATGCTCAGTTGTTTGTTTTCACGGAGCTTCTGAATCAAGCCTCCATTAGGCTCTCGAACTACATAAAAACTGAACAAAGGATTCTGAACATCTGCGCTAAGGTACTTATGTATATACTGAACCTATATCCATAATCAGATCCTCTGCAGATGTGTCCTATAATGTGCAATTAATGATAAAAGCTACTTCCAGGTTTGCCACGATCGCATTTTTTGTGCATAAAAACATTATTTTTTTCATTAAAACGTTTACAAATAATTCTGAAAAGCTCCGTGTATGTGTATTAATAACGTACATGTATAATGTGTTCTCTGATTAACATTTAAAAGTGTTACGGAAACATAGGCGTAGACCAATCAGAAAGGAAGGGGGAGGAGCTTGCGTCGTTTTTTTCAAATCAAGCACTTCTCTGTCTCTCTTTCTGACAAACTCCAGACAATCACTTTAATAAGGTTCGGTGAAATAAGTGTTAAATCTTTTGGTCGATACGCATTGTCAATCTATGGATGGGACATTGTTCTGTATTTTTGTTGACTACAGACCAGAGAAAATACTACACAAACAAGCAAGCATCTGCAACAAAGAACATGGTGTGTAGTGAGTAACGCACCTGTCAAAGATGGAGCCCACCCCGGCGCTGTGGGCACTGCTCCGGTGCACGTGGAGCCCTGTGGCCAACAGAATGCCGTCTTTCACTGTGACCGAACGATGGGAGAAGGAGGCTATGAGCAGCTCGTTCCAACCTGCGAGAAAGGAATACATCAGACTGAGAACAAATACTGTAAAGTCAAGTAAAAGATGATAATATGTTTAAAGGCATGTTTTAAGGATATGTAACTAACAGCTAATATGTCCTCAGTAACTACAAAACTTCAGATTTGTCTGATACGGAATTAGCGATGGCTGTGCTGTGACATAAGTATTGTTTTATACATTTTGTGAAGATGAGTGAAGATAAAGAATTGTAACTAACAGAAGAATTGTAAAGTGTTGGTGAATCTTAATTTTGTAAAGTGCTCCGAGTCGACTGCTGTTGGGATGGGGTTTAAATATCATTTAATTTTATAAATTATTTGAGTTAATTTAAGTTCTAAAAATGGTCAATTTATCAGACAATTATTGTCGTGAAAAAATAATAATAATACAAACATTGTTTACCACTAGAGGGCAGTGTCTGGTTTGGATCTGTGTCCTTTGGCAATTTGACAACTTTGTTTCAATAAGAAAATAATCACACAAAAACGTTATGAATAATGGGAGCAGCAAGCATCACACCAGAATGAATAAAAAAGAAAAAAGAAAGTTGCTTAAGGAACATTCTTTGAACAAATCAAAAACCCAACAGTCTTTATCAAAAAAGTTATATTTGACATTGATGTGATCCAAAGATGTGACAGGGGCCAAAGCTAAATGCATGTGAAATCTAGTTACATGGATTCCAGCTTTAATTTTGAATACTTGAACTAAAAAAAAACCTACCAAATATTCCTCTCTAATGTGATGTGTGGGTAATGTTAGAACACACGGTGGTTTATACAGTTCTTATTAACACATTTTGAATATATCCCCTCTAATATTTACTTAAGTGTGGATTGATACCTGCGCGCAGTAAGATAACTTGGTCATCCAGAGGGAGCTCAGAGAAGTGTGGTATCCTCTTGGCCCACTCCACCAAAGTGAAGAGCTGCTTGTCCGCTGCTTGGCAAATGTTTGTGACGGGGTCGTTAGTCTGGAGACAAACAAGAATAAACTAAATTAAAAAAACTAAATAAAAAGTGTAATACCTCATGTAATATGTCATATAAAAAGCCTTTGTCGCCTCACTCCAGGACTGGCCCAGTGTGTGTCTTACCGAGTTGCCTGGGCTTCCTTCAGAGTATGGTTCTGTTTTGGGCTCCACAGCAAGCTCTGCATCCAGGATCTTGTCCACAGGCATCTCTTCATTGAAACAGCTGGTGGACTCCACCTCACTGTCCCCTCGCTCTCTGCCGCGCTGTCTCTCCTCCTGCACAGCTGCAGAACAATCCAAACTGTTACGGAGTTTGAAGAAATGCTGTGGCTATGTTAAAATATTAAATTAGCTTAATCAATCATACTGTAATATCATCATATCACCTCCAAAACAGATAGTGAAAAGAAAAATTACATGTTTCAAATCCTCTGATTAATTACATTATAGCTGATAACAAATATATAAAAATATGTTTTTACAATCAAACCTCATCTGCTTCAAAGTGATGTGTTCTCATTTTAATTGTGTATATTATATTTTGTATTCCTCATCAAACATTAGTTTCAGTCAAATATGTAAAAATGCCCAAATAGTAGACCTGAATACATACTGCACACACCTTCTCTCTTCATCCCCATGGCCAGGCACTTCTGGTAGCGGCAGTACTGGCAGCGGTTCCGCTGGCGCTTGTCGATGAGGCACTCCTTACTGTCTCGACAGGTGTAGGTCAGGTCTTTGCGAACAGTTCTTTTGAAGAAGCCCTTACATCCTTCACAGCTGTAAACGCCGTAGTGTTTCCCTACGACATAACAGGAACTTAATATACATGCTGAAATAACTGCATTTAAAACTGCTAGATGAATACAATCATAATAATCTGTAGGGCTGTGAAGAAATCGATCAATCAATAATAATCAATTATTAAAATGGTTGTCAACTAATTTAGTAAATGATTAATCCTTGTTTGAACATCCACAAAGACGTAAAGGAGAAGAGGTTTTAGAACACAGACCATTTAAAAAAAAAAAAAGATTTAATTGTAAATGTGATTACGACGTCATTTTATCAAATAATCCACAGTTTAACAATCTACTGTATGTTCTCCAGAGGCATCACTTGAGCTTTGTTTTGGTATAAAAAATCCCATATTTACAACCTTTATTATCTCCACAATATTAACATGTACTTTAACAATATGAGAAATCTACAGTGATGCATGTATTTATTTATTTGATATGGACAACACATTCATGAACATGTGGGCAAGTAAAGATGCCAGACATAAGCAGAAAAGCTCATTTCTATCTAATGTACATCTTAATGTCAGATTTTTTTTCTCTAACCACTTATTTACCTTCATATGTGGCCTAGTAATTGGCACAGACTTTACCTGAAGAGCGGTCTCCACAGATGGCACAGATGTGCTTGGACATGCCCCCAGGACTCGTGCACTGATAGTTGATGTTTCCCAGGTTTTGAAGCCCTGGCGGAGGCTTGATGTCCTCTGAGCTGCTAACACTGTTCATGGAGTTCATCTGAGGATGACAGGAAGGAAGAAGTGATGAAAACAGAAGAAAACCAGAAACAAAAGCCGGAGTGGGGCTCTTGTAACACTCTCACTTCCTTCATCTGGTTATGTCGTCGTCAGTGTCTGCTCTGTCCCCTCCCTCCTGCTTCTCTGAGTGCTTCATGTTGAGTGAATGGGCAGGGCAAAGGCTGTCACACAGGTTTTCATGTTTGTTGTCAGGGAGAAGCATATGTCAGAGATAATTCACTGTAGTTTCTACTAACATGCAGCAGATGGCGATATTTGTCCATGTTTCTCTTGTATTGAAACTTGAATCATGATTTAGGAACATGGAACTAGTAACTAATGTAATTGTATTCAAGATGTGTGTGGAATCTCTGTGGTACAACTACAAAATTAAAAACGCACAGGTCAGTACAGCTGGGGAGCCTCACTGCTAATTTATGTCAAGAAACCATTGTGTATAAAACTGAGACACTGGTTTTTACATCGGCAACAAGTGTCAATGTCCCCTGATATGATCCTTTATGCCCGCTCTTATCGTATCACTCTGATGTTTGAGCTGTAGTTTATGACAGCCTATCCCAATACATGCAGGCGCCCTGCATTTGTTGATGTGCAGACATCTGCACTCCAGCTGCAAAACAACAGCCATGACCTACATAGGCCCACGTCCTACATATGTGATGCACAGCGACATACAGTATAAGCCTGGCATCCTCCTCTTAGTCACCTCAGGCATTTCCTATCACTTATTTACAATGTGCACTCTCTTTTGAATATTGAGCTGAACTAAAGCCTTTGCGGCTATGGCTACAGACCGCCTCCAAAGTCGTCATGCTTCATTTCCGAGACACTTAAACGCCAATGTTTACTATGCAGTAGTGTCAATTGAGATATCGCTTACTCCACAGAGCTCTTGGTCTGACTGTATTCACAAACACATTTTACACACTTTTCAGTGAATCAGAGCTGCTTAAATGAAAATAAATACATTACATTGAGCAATAATAAAATTCAAGCATTATCTATGGAATATTTATGCATCATACATTCTTGACACTTCTGTAAGAGGTCGGTACACTACTGCATGGGGAGTGCGTGTAGTGGTCGAGAAGATGAGCTGCTGCCATAAGTAAAGGATATGGCTATTGTGCCACAATGATAAAAATTTCCTCTAGACTTGCCACAACTGTATTTAAAACTTAAGTGCACAGATGTAGGTACAAGCTGTATCCTATCTGTAGTGATAATACCAGACCTACATGCAGACCTACGCCATACAGGTCTGGCATGTGCCTCCTGTATGGTGACCCTGCTCCCATCGCTGTGTGGAGTGAGAGGACAAATGAACCACAACAATTATAAAACACTTTGACTCCAGTCTGTGAAAGGCACTATATAAATACAGATTACTTACTTACTTATTCAATACTGACACATTTGCAGTCATGTTGATTAATGTGTACTGTCCCTATTCAAATAATCTAATACATAAATAAACAATGGGGCACCGACAAAATCTTTTTCAACCATAATATTCTCAAATGTATGGAAAAGAATCAAACACAACGACTTTGTGGCACTGCACAGGAAAGCTTGCCCCACAGACCTCCCACCGACCCAGGGGGCACAATCCATACTATCATGAACATGGAGGCAATGTATGGAATTAACTGGAGTGGAATCCAGTGGCAGTGGGTTGAGTCCAACCTTTGAAACTTTAGAAAAGGCAGTTTGATGTTGTACTTTATATATGTATATCATTTACATACACAGCTTTCATACAGAGACTGTTTCACGATGTTATATGTCTTGGCAACTTCATTATTTATTCAGTATACCACTTTTGAATCGAAATGAGCGCAACCTTGTAAAAACAGATGAAATGCATAACAAATACACTGGCTAACACAGCATAATGAAATAAACAAAAGGAAGAAACCCAATTACAACTGCATTTACGTTGACGGCCCATTAAGGGGTAAGTAAGCCTCGCATGCTTTGGCACTGCTCAGGGATGACCTTTAAAGTGAGAAGTGGAAAGGTCTTCAGGAGGGTAGGGGATGGAGGGGAGGCCAGAGCACGTAACACATCGGATATATCTAACCTTCATCTAACCCACAAAATTGCACGTGATCCAGAAGACAACAGTGAAAAACAGAGGGCTCCTTTCACTTTATAACACTGTAAACTGCTGATTAATAATTAAAGACAACTTTTATCTTATCCAAATTTATAACTCACAGGATGTCACTTCAATCAATCAAGGTAATGGCTCACTCCACACTAAACTGTACCATCTAACTTCAAGCAACAATAATATAAACGTATGAACTAAAAAATGTTGTACCTAAAAACGTTTTAACACTATGTAGCCTATATATAGTATAATCTCAGAAGGGCAGCTAAAACTATTTCAAGAAAAATGGATGCCTTTCAAAAAAAAAAAAAAAACTTTGGGGACATATTTGTTACATTTAGGACATGTCGTGTTGGAGGCTTTGTGAACGGAAGAATGAACAGGACAGAAAACTATATAATGGTTAATGGTTGGAGATAGAACTATAATCAATCTGTAATTATAGATTTTACATTATGCAAAAAAAATATTATTCAGTAACTGCGGACAAACTAGGCGTTTTGGAAGTAACAATCGTGTCCACTTTTGTTATGTCCAAAACGGCTGTCTTGGAGCGCTGATACAGGCGTGAACGAATCTGTGTCATGCCCCCTCCACTGGACAAACAAGCTGGAAACAAAACAAGAGTGGGTCTGTGAACATTCAGCGGTAGCGACCGAGGACATTTCGGGAGTTTTTCGTGTCATTGACAAAAATGTAACACATTGATACAGTTTCGTGTGGAGTGAGCCTAATATCAAATAAGTTATAATAACAATAAAGATAATTCAAAAAGCATGACTAGATAATGTGGTTGTTAGGACAAAACAAAAACGTTGCACTTCGATAGTGATTTTCATGAAGCGTCTTTGTGTGTTATGAAAATCACAGTAGAAGTGCAAAGTTCTTGTCTGACATAATTCATTCACCACGTAGACTGTGGCGGTAAGCTACTACAGGAGCCACAGCTGCCCGAGGCTGAATGACAGAAGCAAGGCTACTAATCTGTGCCATTGTCCTCTCTGACCACCACCAATCATCCACACACCAAGACTCATTCTACTGTAGGTAATGTGGGTGAAGTGTCTTGCCTAAGGACACAATGGCAGTTTGACACTTGTTTGTTTAACCCAGTGTTCTTTCATCACAGTATTTATTTTATCAATGGAATAAATACATGTACAGTACATTTAACAATACTTTTCGGAGTTGTAATTAACTTCTTTACCAAAGCTGATTGATCCAAAGTAAAACATTGTCTGAACCACAGGGAACACAGTCAATAATTCTACGAGATAAATATAAAACACAGTGTAATAAAATCTGCTCTGTAATAATTGAAGAAAAACACCATTTATGACTGAAAAAAGCATAAAAGCACAATCAAAGTCCAGTGTGATCATACTTGTGTGTATGATATGTTTTTCTTACTTGTGGGCTGCAGAGAGGTCCAAAGTTCATGCTGGAGGGGGAGCCCAGAGAGGAGGTGATGACGGGGTAGGGCGAGGCCAGGCCGTTCATGGGGGATCCGAGTGTGGACATAGGGGAGGGCAGCTGCCTGGAGGTGCTGATGACTGAGGGGTGGCCAGCCATGCCCACCATGCCCCCCATCCCAGGGCCATGTGGGTGGGCACTCATGGGCCCCGAAGAGTCTGAAGGAACATGACAACATCTGTTAAGGGCAAAAGTATAGTTACTGTATGTGAAAAAACCAAGAGCCTGGTAACAGGTGAAACTACGTACAAGATAAACTAGACCGATACTGAAAACAAAAATATAACATTTGACATTTCTTGAGCATTTCTTAATAATTTGGTTGTATAAACTCTATATACAGTAGCATAAACATGAACGTCCAAATAGAGCTTTTACATACAATTGTTGTGGTATCGAAACTGGTATTAAGTATTATGTTTAGAATCAAAAGAGAGTTTAGAATAGTACTGTGTTGTGACAGATAATCATTAGTCCTGTCATTGATGATTATTTTGATGATCAATTAATCAAGTGATAAATCTTTCTTTGAATCAATTCAGTTAAGAATGCTGAAACAATATTTTGTCTCAGTTTGACGCAGATAAAGCTTAAGAAAAGTCACCGAAGGAAATTCTGACAGAATTACTGATTATAATATCGGGTCTGGGAAGTATTGAAAACAATGCACAATTCCTAATATTTTTCATACAACTCATTCACTGTTTGTATTTTCAAAGAACAAATGAATGTTTATAAAAAGAGCAGTTTCAATTACTAAAATGGTTATAATAGTTATTGTTATAATTGTCTGCTAAGATGTTTTGCTATCTGTGATTTGGAAGCTTCTTTACCAGCATTGTAATAGTTTAGTTTTGTTGAGTCAATAAATGTAACAGAAAATGGAATGGATGGAGCCGATAGCACACTCACTTTCCACTGTGTGTTGTGGAAATATCACAGACTTGTTTTGCATGTATTGATGTAAACTGACAGGATGGCATTTACATAGATGACCAACTTAGAAAAGATGTCATTCAAGCGAGGAAGACTACACATGAGTAATGTTATATAATGCATGTGCCGAAGCTTTAGGCATTTTCATTCGTCATTTAACTAGTATCGATACTCAAAATAATGACAAAAAACAAGAATTAGATGTATGAATTAGAAACTATATCATACGAACTTGAATCATGTTGTATGTATTATTATTGTGATTTCAAATTTACAGTTTATTGTCCAAAAACAGCATTTATAGACAATTGCTGTGGTATCAAAAGGAAAATGTCTAAACACAGTGGTATGAAGGGTCCACTTTACAGGTGGAACTATGTTGTAAAACATGAGAGGAATTTGTCTCCCAATTAGCAGACTACAACTAGCATGTTCGTCTCAGTCCAAACATATGTTGGGTGTGTCAAGTAAGTCATATTTTCTATTTCAAACTTACAGAAAATACAACTATAAAGAAAGATATAAACAAAACATAAACACAATTTTGGACAAAGAACATGTCAAAGTAGAGAATGTACAACCTTTCAAAGGCAAGGCCAGTTTGTAGGTTTGACACATTTCACACTGCTCAACCTTCTTTATACAGTAAATACATACACCTACATACCTACATATACATACATGCATACATACAGTACATACAGTACATACATGCATACATTTATACAGTACATACATACATACAGTACATACATACATACAGTACATACATACATACATACATACATACAGTACATACAGTACATACATACATACATACAGTACATACAGTACATACAGTACATACAGTACATACATACATACAGTACATACATACATACATACACACATACATACACACATACATACATACAGTACATACATACATACATACATACACACATACATACATACATACAGTACATACATATATACATACAGTACATACATATATATATATACATACATACATACATACACACATACACACACACATACATACATACATACACACATACACACATACAGTACATACATACATACATACATACATACATACATACATACATACATACATACATACATACATACATACATACATACATACATACATACATACATACTAGGGGTGGGCGATATGGCCTAAAATTCATATTGCGGTATAATTTGGGACACAGACGGTAGACGGTATATATTGCGGTATAATTTGTTGTGTGAATTTCAATATAGGTCTAGCAGGTTCTTGCATAAAATAGTCAAGATTGTTAATTATTTATATATTAGAATCTAATATATATAGGGGCGACAGTAGCTCAGTTGGTAGAGCAGTGGCCTTTGAGCCTGGAGGTCGTGAGTTCGATTCCCTCCATGGGACCTTCTCCAACTGCTCCCACTGATGTTTACTGTCGTTGTGTCCTTGGGCAAGACACTTAACCCCACGTTGCCTGAAGCCCCCGCTGAAAGACCAAGGCTGTTTCACCGCTGACGGAGTAGCCATCTTCCTGTGGACTCATGTTATTTGTCTCTTTATTCGTCTCACAACTGATTTTCTAACTCAAAAAATATATATATTAGATTCATTCATTCATTTTCAAGCCCTTTATTGTCCATTTCTGGGTCGGGGGGGTGGCAATGAGAGCTGCCACCTAATGCTCATAGCACCAGTCCCTCGCTGATCTTCTGCAGGTTCGTTTACAAAGCTGGTCTTGCCATTTGTTGACGCTCCCTAAGCGCTTTTCTCTGTATGATTCAATTGATTTATGTTCATTAAAACAGCGCATTGGATTTGAACAATTGATGTAAATGATCATTTTGGCACAAATAATTTTGTTTAACAAAGTAGCTTTTGTGAGATATTGACAGCGGAGGTCCGAATCTGACGCTAACTTTCCCAAACTTCTGCTGTGATGCTGCGGACACGGCACATGCATGGATCTATTTTGGCTCACACTGGCGCTTCGAGCCTACGCCCCTTTGACACTGATTGGCCAAAAGGTAGACGCTTAAACTGTGATTACTGTGTGTGTATTTACCTCTGCTGGGGCCGCTGTGACAACAATACATAGACAGAAACACTGTGTTAATGCCGTGCTGTTGTTCGTTGTTTCCAGTGGTGTCCAATAGTGCTAGGCTAATGCTAGGCTAATGCTGCTGAATGCCGGTTTGTTTTGGTCCTTTCTGCTGGCATCAGAGCCTGCGCAATTTAATGACATAATGACCTATCGCAATATGCCGGTATAACAAAAATCTCTACCGTGGGCCAAATTTATATCGCATACCGCTTATACCGTTTATATCGCCCAGCCCTAATACATACATACACACATACACACATACATACATACAGTACATACATACATACAGTACATACATACATATATACATACATACATACACACATACATACATACATACGTCAGTTACCTCCTAAATACAGTGTTTGTGTAACTTTACTGTAGTTTTTACTGTAAATGGCTGTATAGGTCGTGTAGAGTGTGCTCAGAGTCGTGCTCAAGTGTCACCGAGACTTCTTTACAGTGAAAACACAAAGAGAGTAAAGTGTCGCAATGAAAACATGACTAAACCATTTGACTGTGTTGTTCATACTCAATGTTGTTAGGACATATTATTCTGAGACATAGACAGTTTCATCGACGTGAAGACTTGAGGAATTAACTTTTCATTTTGAGAACGTGCTGCACTTTTGCAGGTTATCCACGAGGTTTTGCCGTTTGCACTAATTGTTCTGAGAAATGCACAAACAGTTGTGCAAATGTGAAGAATGATGTAAGAAATGCACAAAAGCGACTGAGAAAAACTGTAAAAAACAAGATAGACTGCAACAAGCCTAACGGCTAAGAGGATGAGGAAAACACATAAACGCCTGAAAACATGAAATAGAAGATAATTCCATCATCATCTCATCATCATCTGCTACTCCTTGACCTGCATGCACAGAGGTGCTCAGTGGGGACAAATGTGGCAAGAGTCAGTCTGTAGTAGGTAGATAGATAGATAGATAGATAGATACTGTAGATAGATAGATAGATAGATAGGTAGGTAGGTAGTAGGGTTTAATATTTTTCCCGAAAATGAGACGTATCATATCCCGGGAAAAGACGACGCCTTTCCCGGGAAATCCCGGGAAATAGCTGTTGTTTGTAGTTGTTGTTTTTAGCCCAAGTAATGTATGATATCACTCAAATATATAATCCAACAAAAGCTGCCATCTCCACTAGTGTTTCACCAAGTGACTTGCTAGCTTTTATAAAGTAGCCATAGCGTTTTCAGACGTTTTGTTGATGGGCTTTCTTCAGGAATTTCACTATTATGAGATTCTAAATGTCTGCGCAATCCACTTGTCAAAAAGTGACGTGCGGTGTGGTTTGGAGGCACTGACTTCAGCCCTGTCAGATGAACATATATAAATCAACAGAACCTACAAAGCGGCTTATTCACAATTAGTTTGGCTACAGCAGAATGTTTTCCATGGCCCGCATTGTTTGCTCAAACAAAACGCAAAAGTTCGTAAAAGGCACATTTCCAATTGTGTTATGGGTCTTACCTTAGTTATTAATGAACAGCACAGACAACTTCAGTTCAGACCAGTTTCATGTTTAAGTCCAGATAATAGTTTGAGCGCAGATATGTAATCCCCCATTTGGAAATAAGCCCAAAGAGTTTTAAAGCGTAAAACAAAACGGGTGTGTTCGCTGCAGCCGGCTCTCGGGCGCATCCAATTTCTAATATCAACCTTACCCTTGACCCTTATCTTACCCTTCTCCTCTCTTCCTTATCATTCCTATCGTCATTGTAAGCAGAACATTACCCTAAATGCATTTTATATGATTTTAAAATTTGTTATATGTATGTTAGCCAAACCTGTTGCTGCCCTTAGCAGATGGAAAAAAAGAAAGGAGCTTTCTGATAGAATTGGACGTAACCAAATTCTGGGCTCACATGTGCCCCGTACCCTGAGCCTGGCCTCATTACAAGTCGTGGTTTAGCGCGATTAAGACCCATATTTGTTGTCAAAAACACAATTTAGGAGCCATCCTCTCAGCTGTAGACATGTTGATTGTAAATGAAATATGTTTGAACTTTGAACAACAATAAACGTGCTTTATAATAGGAGCGCACTGTATTTTTTTTTTTACTTTCATTTCCCGTTTCCCGTCATAAC